TTCGCAGGTCTATGGCTGCGCTACGCGTGGCGCGTACTTGAGTGACACGACTAGATTTCATTGAGCAGTACGCTTGAGCTATTTCATTGCAGAAGTCAACTATCATGCATGCATACCAGGGAATATGCAGCCGGTGAAAGACTGCAATACAACAGTCTTGTTGCTGCTTTTTGTATCATATGTTTATTCTTGCTTAGAGCAATAAGACCGCCAGGTATGTCCTACTGAAGGACTTCATTGCCGTCAATGGCGAGAAGACGGCAGCAGAGCTAGACAGGGAGCTGAACATGTCCGGTTGTCTATTCCTGACCAGGATCGTGTCCTGGTTGCAAATGCTGTGAGTGGATATTTGTGGCCTTGTATAAGACTCCGGTGGGTGAATGGTGGGCCATGGGAGCGCTGCAAGCCTTGGATACGTATGAAAATTCCTCCCATCACAGGGAGAACATGGGTACACTCAGTCCAAGTCCAGGTGATGTCCATGAATGGCACTGGTCAAACACATCCGACCCTTGGAATTTGTTGGCTCGACTTGGGCCTTTGAATATTGAGAAGCTGTTGCTGGGCACAGTTTCAGTCTATCTTGACCTGGCCACCGTAATCAATGAACAGCCAGGTAGTAGAAAACTATTATTCTAATGCGACGGTGAAAAATATTCTTCGCCAGACCTGTTCGAGTCCTGCTGGTGACTGTCAATTTTTTTCTTCAGACCTTTCCCGTTTGCATCTTTCCCTTCAACTAATGAACACCAGGCCCGTGTTGGGTATTTGCTGGACTCACTCTTTTCGGTATGATTCAGGTCTGCACGTGCATCACGAATTTGGGTTTCAAGATCTTTGAGCAATGAACGCAGCCACGTACTGCTTTGGCCTATGACCATAGTTTGAATGTTGAGTCTGGTGCAGTGAAGTAAGAGTTCAAATGAGCTTCCATCATTTCCATGAACATGTATGTATGTGTGTGTGTCCTTTGGTGCGTTTACATTTTCAAATGTCACAAGGCGAGGCACAAAGGAGCAGTTGCATCTACTACTGCAAGCACTGGATATCTTCCTTGCAGCCCCTGGCGGGTATGAGAAGCTTGATCTGCTAGAATTCCATAGAAATGCTATTCATAGTTTGCGCAAGCTCATGTATGAGATGTTTTGAGCACGCACAGTGAAACTTTTTGCTAAAGTTCGTAGCAAATGATGGGTGAAGATCCGATAAGTTGCCTGTGCAATTTGATCATGGCCTATACGTGAGTGCAATCACTTTTTACAACACCATAGCTGCGAAGTTTACCTCGGAGCATTATCCCCGGAGTAAGCACTGCTTATCTACATCCCTTTTCTCACGTCTTTTCAATTGTATTTCTACTTCACGATACTCTCAGCTATAGTCCTGAACTTCTTTTTTGAATTGTTGTTTTGCCTGACTGCATCTCATGCTGTCTTGTTTACAGGAGTGACTCCTTTGTGGATGAAGTCGTGATGATGGGCGGTATCCAGTGCATTCTGGACATAGTGCGCTCTCCGAAGTCATATGAAGTGAGTGCGAAGACCTTTGACACAACAGAGTGTGACTCCACTGAGGACTATATGTTGGACTCAGTAGAGCGCCCAGCCCCTACATGATGTCCAACCCCTATATAGAGTCCATTGGTCCAAAATCCACTGTACAGAGTCCAAACTTGGAATCAACTGTGAGCTCAAAGTTTAGATGGACATCACTCCCTGTATAGAGTCCAGGTAATTGGCTTCACCCTATATATAATCCATTGGTCCAAAATCCACTGTACACTGTGTACAGAGTCCAAACTTTGAAATCGACTATACAGAGTCTTTATGTGGACAACACTTCCTGTATAAAGTCCAGCCAATTACGCATCCCCTATCCAGAGTTCAAAATTAGACATAGGATCTGCTGTAAGCAGTGAATATCAACCAGAAAATTGCCTCTCCCTTTAATCCTTTAATCCTTTATATCATTCACTTCTCCTTTATATCATTCACTTCTCAAGATTAAAAAAAAGTATTGAGGCTCCACTGCAGCCACCTCATTACATGAAAAACCTTACAAACACCATCCTCAAATCAAGTGGTCTCTTCGCTGCAAATTACAATATCTCCATCATGTACTGCTCTCAAAATAATTATTGTGCGCAGACACACATGCACGCACACCGCCAAGGAAATACTAAGAAAAAAACCAAGAACCGAAAGAGAATAGGCTATGATGGAGAGCCAAGGATTATTTATTGTTTTCAAATTATCGCGCGCGCACGCGCGCACACACACACACACACACACACACACACACACACAAACTTATACAATGCCCAGAAAACACAAAGAAGAGTAGAAACACAATACACACGCAACTCCAACAGCCATACAAACGACCACCCATTTACACGTAAAGTCAAGAGGGATGACAAATAATTACTGTGTACGAAACGAATGCATACGTGGACGGGTGCACCCACGTTTACATACGTGTAGTAGTGTAAGACTAAGAGAGTAACATAGTGCAGTAGTCAGCATAATACTAGCACGTGCTGAGAGTGCAATAGCAAGCTTCACCACTGCTCACGGCTATGCAAATGTTTAGCAGCACTCAGCTCCGCTAGCTTCTGAAGATCAGCACACCTGCAACAAATAGATAGCACAAGGATACGCTTATTAAATGCATGGGAGCACACAACTACCAAGTTCTCAACGAATGTGATGCTCAATGAAAATCCATCCACTCAAAGACCTGTGACCAGGTGATGGTAGGTGGGGATCTATTAGTAATACGAGGAATAAGATCGGTTGTGCACACTCAAGACGCACAGACACACCAACATACATGTAGTGTACTCCACAGTGTTTCACTTCACTGCAACTAAATTGAAATGAGATGATTTAAATTAAACAATCTGTACAGCGTTACCGTCATTCAAACAGTCTTCCCCAAATTAGAAATGCAATGATTTGCTGTCACGAGGCAATTTCACTGACACAATGTCATGTTTGTGACATCAAAACGGTTACTTCATGGAATAAGAGTATTAGCTTGAGGAGCTTTTTCTTGTCATCGGCATACAACCAATTCTCCTCCTACTACTAGTACACTGACACTGCGTTTGTGCATCCCATTGTATTTGACATCATGCTAGGGGAAGAGTATCGTGGAGTTCACATAATTATCACAGGGATAAATGCATTTCTCATGAAATAGAATTGATGATAGCTAGACGATTGATGCAAAGTCCTTGCAGTCCTTGAGGACTGATATTATCGTCACGCAACTATTACGAAGTCCTTGATTAATTTTAGAGCATTCACTCAAGCAACATCAAACAAACGCAATACACTCCTTGAAAATGGAACAAAATTCAAGCATAACGACAGAACAGCAGACCAATCGAAACGAGTAAAAGCTTCCTTACCTCAGTCGTCGTCCTGCCACTCGCAGCCATGAGTTTGACAGCCCTTTGACACGGTGGTACAGGCAGCTCTTGTCCAGTCAAACAGGGGATCCTTGTGGCGTCGAACGAAAGAGAGTGTCAGTGTACCTGATTCGTCAGATTTGAACTGTGCTGAACTGTTCTCGTTCTCCAATTTCTGCTTTCACCCCGCGCACTGATGAAATTTAATTCAGAGAACCACAAGACGCGTTCCAGATTTGATTTTGAACGTCTCCTTTTCCTCCTTGGTTACCTCGAGACAGATTACTGGCAGCCATGGCTGAAGTGAAGAAAAGAATGCGCTGCCACGAGGCAAGCAAAACTGAAAAGATGTTTGTTCTCTTTCGGGCACTACAACTACACACAGGACGGCGTGACTGGATAAATATGACTCCTGGACCGTGAATAGGGGACTTGTAGAAAAAGTGTACTCCTTATAGGGGATTGCGCGGCTGGATGGAGCTGATCAAAATTGAACGGACTCTTGGACTCTGTATAGTGGATTTTGGACCAATGGACTCTATATAGGGTGCTGGACATCATATAGTGCATGGACTTTATACTGAGTCCAACATATATCCGGAGTCTATGTATAATGATAATGATAAGGCTTCGAAGGTGGCAGTTAGGGGCACGAAAAAAACTTGTTGTTAGGCCACCTAGAATTAATTCGTTGTTCCGGGTCGCTTCACTCATCCGTACGAGGGTCGGTCGGTCGGGTGTATTTTTTATTTATTTTTTATTTTGTTTACGGCCATGTGCATACATGTACAATTGTGCATATCGAATAGCTTTTGTCCATCAAGCCAGTCGATGAAATCTGACTGTAGACAATCCAGCGCAGCCATTGTCCCATCAGATCCAGGTCCCGTCGAGGACCAGATATTGTCCTCGCTGGCAAACGAGTCTGACGAGCAGCCCTCACCTTGAAAACGTCTGTCAATGAGCGACGCGGTGGTGGAGCTGATGCTGTTTCAGGACCGACTGTTGATATATCCGGATCGGAGATAGAAGACAACGTCGTCACCAAGCGCTGCATCCTGTCATTTGGCTGCTTCCGAGGTCGATGTCTGGACTGCTATTATTAGGGTCACGTGTGTCAAGTACATTTGCATGCACTATAAATAAATGTGCGGTCTCGTGAAAAAAGACGGTCGGGTGACCCGAAACAACGAATTAATTCTGGGTGGCCTTATATACACTATTCACTGGTTTGAGGGAAAAACGCAAACGGATACACTACTACCACTATACTAAGCGTTTGTTATGGTTTAGAAAAGCGATCCTGTCAGCTTTTCTATTATTGCGGTCATATCCCAGGACCTGATTCCTTGGCTGGAGTAGAATGATTGTTGTTCCATTTCCTATTTTGTAATCAGCGTTCCATGAATTCCAACACATTCCAAAATAAGTACTGGTGGAGGAGTTCAACATTTGAAACAAGTAGACTTGATTGACTGAAATTGCAGGATATTGGCAGCTCTCCTCATTTCCAAACTGCTGTTCTCCCTTTTCCAGAATGACAGGTATCACGGTTTGAAATGCATCAAGTCGGCCATGTCGCTGGATTGACCTACCAAGTTCAGCTGTGCAAAATGCGTGGTAAGTACTGCCATACACTGGGTCTCTTAGTGTTGAAACGAGCGTGTCTATAACAAACGAGCAAACAGTTCCACTGACGAACGAGCTATCGAGCGAGTTGACGAGTGTCACTGATGTGGCAAAGATGATTTTTTGATTTTTCAAATTGGCAAATGCCTCGATTTTTCGCCGCTCACGCTCGAATTGCTGCTACTGTCGACTGGCTTCACTTTGGACGGGTATTTGTTGTAGAGTGATCTCAGTGCATTTGTTGAGCAGCCGTTGTTAGAATAGACCGTTTTGCAAAGATTGCAAGTAGCCTTCTTCTTTGCTACATCGCAGGAAAAAACTTCCAAACGACTACAATAAGCGTGATTTCGATCGAAGGGAGAGTTCACTAGATGCACTGACTGTACTGTGATGTGTACGTCGTACCGTATATGGTGCTTCGTTAGGGCAAACGAGCTCGCCGCGCAAACGAGCCGAGTTTCTGGTGAGCGAGCTAACGAGCACCCGGTGAGATCCTGTCAACACTAGAACTTTCTCTTGATCTACAGTAAAACCTGGTGTAAGCGACCTTTGGTTTTAGCGACCACCTGCTCTTAACGACCGCTTTTCCATGCGCCGACAGTTCTACACAGACACTCTGGGACCTGGGTCTAAAGACCACCTGGCTTTAACGACTGCTTTTGCTTGCACCGTGGGGCGGTCGCTTAAACCAGGTTTTACTGTTCTATCCCTCATCAAGCACTGGGTAGCTTACTCAACAGTGCCCGGTCTCAAAGTCTTGAACCAATAGTTTAAAGATGCACATGTTTGAATGCCATTGGAACTTTCATTGCCCTAGTTTTCAAGTGCTGGGCAGCACCGGGTCTATTTCCTCAATTGCTTGCGAATCGTACAATAAATGCAGAAAAACAGATCATCACCCAGAGCATTCATAGTGTCAATGTACACGGCCATGTCGTTGTTCTGTCGGTGTGATACGTTTCAGCGGTCGTGTGCATCGGAGAATGTCTGGCCGTATCCAAGGACGCTAAGACCCAGTCGCTGGCCAAGGAAATTCTAGAATCTTTACCCGTGGTAAGTTAGGGTGTACCGTGAAGTCTCTCCTGTCTAAGTGCATGTACAGCAGAATGTCGGTTTTCCGAACGTCAACTATCTGAACAGCCAATTTTCCGAATTGCCTGTTTGCACTGAATTCAAGGGACGAAAATGAGTTTTTAATGATTTTCCTCACCCTGTGCAGCATTGGAAATGGTGCACAGGGTGAATGCCAGCAGGTTTGTGTCAGATTTTGTCCCCATTGTGTCATTTTGAGGAGCTGGAGTGTGTTTAATTCCTGTGGTACTGCCGAAGAGAATGAGAAACGATGAAACCCGGAGAGAATGTGCATGGTTTAGATTGATGTGTGCCCGCTCCCTTATCCAAACATACTCCTCTTCCAAACACCCTGGAGACAACCTGGCGCCCCGAGGGGTACGGAGGATAGGCACTCTACAGTATGTAGGAAAGAGCGCACGTCGAGAAATCTCACTGTAGGTGATGGTGATATGGATGATTGCCAGTGGCTGCGTTGGGGCTAGGAAAGGCATGCGTGGCTCAACCCAAGGTACAAATTCAGCCGCTAGTTGTTTTCGAAGTCCTCTTGCACCGTGTCAAGGCAAGCTGTTGGCAAATCTGCAGCTTTTCTTCCCGGAGCCCATGCATATGCCCGATTTGCATTTCGTGTACTTTTGTTCAGCGCAACGAAGCCTACCTTGGACAAGTTCATTCGGCATTTGTGCAAATTCTCTCTGCACAGTCATTCCAGGCACGCTACTATGCAACGATCTCACTCAATTCTATACAGGTGAGCGCGACGTTCAACATACTTTGCAAGACTGGATGTATGGGTAGATGTATGCAGACCGCTGGCTACACCTTCAAGCTCATGTAATGCTGCTAGAATTTGAATGGAATTGTCAAACTGTTTAGTGCTCTCGAAATATTTCAATAAGTACATGCTTGCTTTTGCCATGGTTACTTGCGGAATATAATAAGTTGATTTCCTTAGTGTGTGCGTTGTCTGCCAACTGACGTGACGTGACATGCGATTGCTTCAGGGGCGCCACACGGTACGACCAGTGCGACCATAGTCGTACCACTTTTCGTCCAGGATGGTCCGGCCAGAGCGCCTGTAGAGCGTTAAAACGTGCCCTGTTGGCGAAAGGATCTGATTTTTCCTGGGGACAACTCCGGACCCCGGCCGTGCCAGTACCCACTGCGCTGTAATGCCCCTATGCTTTGTGACACGACAGAGCAGATCAAGTGAATGACAATGCGCAGCTGACTACAGTCAGAACCGATCTTGGCAGGGACTCGTTATGTGTGAACAGCATGGATAGTTCTGGGGACAGACAATACCATGCGTGCGTGTATTAGTAAGATGGCTGTGTCAAATTGTTTGAACAACGTGGACTGTGTTGCACCGTGGACTGCGGTGCATGCTTTCTACCCGTGCAGAAGCAGATGGACAAGCCGCCAGACGCTGGGATCATAAAGCCTCTCGTCAACCTGCTGGAATGCTCTAGCGTTCACGTTCAACAGGAAGGTGGGTCACAGTGGATATACTCTCATGATTGTCCTACTTGTATGTGTGAAATAGGGTGACTGTACTCCCAGGTCTATTTGGCTTGGATTGGCTGCCTGGCTATAGCCATCCTCACATTCTCCTTGCGGTAAAAGCGTTAATGATATTGGCTTGTGGCATGAGTGTGTGCATGATAAAATACAAAACAAATAACATTCCACCCTAGATTCGGCCTCTTGTGATCAACTTGATCAAATGGTCGAATTGTTCAGGAAGTAATTATGGTGTTCCCCTGGCATAGCTATCTTGCTGCCAAAGCACCATGTATAACCAGGCATTGTATCTATAGTACTGTAGCGTTCTATTCATCCAGTCCCGTTGATTATGGCTCTGCTCTGCACTGCTCAGCCCTGGCATCGAGTCGACTACCTCATGAATTGTTCATATTCGACCATGGTCTGGGCCCAGTTGGCCTGGGTGGGTATAAAAAAATGTCTGTGGGATGCCAACAGACTGATATGGGTGTATATGCCATGAATGTGTGTGTGCAGTTTTTGACCTGATGAAGCTACTGCTTTCCTATGAGAAAATCAAAAAGTCCCTGTTGCAGGAACTGCTGAAGGCCATGCATATTACAGGTTCCGAAACAGACACCGATGCAGCTGACTCGAACGGAGGTAAGTCTTGTGTCCTTTCAGGAAACGTGTTGTAGGTGATTGTATGCGATATGGAACTGTGTATAGTGCAATGCAGTGGGGTTATGCAATATGCTCAGTGTATCCAATGACTGTACATCTTTATCTTCGAGCCATATGTTCTGCTGGTTGAATTGGCGGATATTCATTTGGCACCGTGATTTGCTATGTCGCCCAGCACATCGTGGATGTACAACCAATGTGAAGATGTGGGATTTACATAGTTCTTCATGGATTCGTCTGATGATTGATTCAATTCTTGAAATGCAGAGTTACGGAATTGCAACTGTTTGTCCTTCTGTTTGTGTATTCCGTTTTTTTTTTTGCTTTGGCAAATTGAGCCCTCTGCAGACAGTGAGTGAACCTCACATAGTTCTTCATGTGTGATTTGTACTGTTCCTCGTGATTTTCTGTGTTCCCTCTATGAATGTTACATGTGTAGGCGGATCTGAAACCAACATCACTCCAATGGAGGGTAAGAATTGCAGGACTGAGTTGCATCTTGTGATTGGGAAACTGACCGTTCTAGATTCAACTGGCTATCACCGGACCAACATTTTAGCCACCATCACATATTTCCTACTATGGACGTCATGTGTACCCACCATATCCAGTCCTGGAGATGTCCTAGATAGGACATCACGGAACCCAGCATGCCCCAGCATACATACTATGCTGTTCCCATAGTAATCGTGACACGTGACTCAAAACTTTGTGTCGCGTCCGAGGAAGATGAACATGTCGCACTCAAAACAAACGCAACGAAGGCCTTTCGTCTCAAAAGTAATTAGTTGTCGTTCTCCTGGCGGCTTGCCTCAAGCGAGTCGAGATTCGTATCTTGCCTCTTGCCTTCACGAATTTTATTTTCCTCGTTGTGGAGTACGCCTGGACAAAGGAACTGGCAAGCGAATCGTTTTGGTCGCATTGAAAATTGCAAGTGCACAAGAGGATTGGCGAAGCAATTTGTGTTCGCACTTTCACCAGAGCAGTAGCTGCTGCTGCGATAAAGTTTTTACTTTCGCCATTGGTTTCAGGCAGCAGAAGGATCTGGCTGAAAGCGATGGCGATACGTCCATGACCACCACGTCCTGGGTTGATATCCATGCAAGAAAGACCGTCCAAGGTCCAGTTTTAGCCAAGAGCTGTCGTATCCAAGAAATCAAAAACGCCAACAGCAAGCTTCGGCCAAATAATATCTTCCAGGCAGTATTTTACGGGCCTAGCGCCTGCTGCCTCGTCTTCCTCCTCTGCATGGCCAGGTTTGGGGCGAAATGAACGCACGGGGCGTGAAGAAACCAGGGAGTAGTACTACTCCCTGGAAGAAACATGCCAAAGGCAAAACATTCAAAATTAGAACCAATCGTTTCCAAAGAAGCGCCGAGTGGCTACGAGAAACCCCACATGAAATCCCCAAACGAAAACGGCCATTCGGTCGGGTATTCGATGGCGAATCGAATATACACTACCTCAATCCCCGCCGATGTCTGATATTCTCCGCCTATTCCGTCAAACTTGACCAATTCGGAAAGAAATCCATCGCCATTACGATCGTGCATCCTCCACATACATTCAGAAATGCTCACGCAGCACTTCTTTTCATCGCGTGTGCGCGACCGATGCTTCCATGACAACTCTGGGACAGGTAACCAATCAGACTCATTCAGAGTGCGATGTCCTAGATAGGTCATCTCCCCGACTGATATCATACACTGCAAAGTATGAAAAAGGCACTGAAACTACTGGACCAATCAAATCTGCTTCCGACAGTCCTGTGTTTGATTAGCATTGTACATGGGACAGGGTACAATGTGGCAGCAGGACTTCATAGCCCCTTTCACGCCCTATCAGGTTGATCTCCTATTTGAACATGCGCATATGTGTGTGTATGATGTGCCCTAGCTCATTTATAATATTTTTATTATGTTATACACGTAGATCATGTCCATGATGCCTTTCCCCTGCGCAGGTCCACCGCACTATTGTTTTTAAGATTAACATCATTATTACTTCTGCATATGCATTACATACTATGATCATGCTGGCTTCATCCCTTATCTCCTAAGCTACCCCCCCCCCCCCCCCCCCCCGGTGCGTCTGCCCAGTGTTGACTCCGAGACCCACGGTCGGACGAGCTGCCCAGGCCTCACCACCACTGCCGTTTCCGTGCTGCCTTCTCGATACATACGTATGTACACTGTATATCATGTGCACATTCACATGTCTGAAGGTTTGTGGTTTTTCAATAAAAAAAAATAATAATAATAATAATAATTTGATAGCATTTGGGGTTCGATATTGTTCTTGTAAAAGGCTTTTTTGTATGGATACAATCATGCGACAATTTGCTATAATTATTTTAAACACACCATGTGTACCAGGGCACTACAAGGTCCTTATTGTACAAGTATGTGGCTCAATGATTTTCTTGGGTTTTTTTCAATGCAGCGGCTCTCCCAGACAACATCAAGCAGGCGGCATGTGCCCATTTTATCCAGTGAGCTTGATGATGCATGCATGCAAACATCAAGACCACTTGATAGGAGTGGCTTTCTTCTTTTTTACCTGAAATGGCATAAACTGAGACTCGAAGACTGAGAGCTTTGACCTTGGCCTACCTTGATTTGTTTCAATTCTTTGACAAACCCAGTGTATGTGTACATGCAAGTGCTTTTCCCGCAAAACAGTTAGACCACTATAGTACTTTTAATGATTTCTATGACTCCCTGTGCCTATTCCACAGTCAAATTCTTTCCGAGAACAGTGGATCAAGTGACGCTTCGGTTGTGAAAATACTTGAACAAGTGAGCTACTCCACTCTCCACTCTCCACTACTATGACTGTTCTGTTCTGTTGTGTGTGTTTGTTTGTTTGGGTATGTGTGTGTGTGTGTGTGTGTGTGTGTGTGTTTTTGTGCGCACGTGTGTGTGTGCATGCGTGTGTGTGTGAGGGGGGGGGGGGTGCGTGTGTCAGTGCTTGTGCATGTGATGGCAAACATGGTGGTGCAAGTAATCCTAACTGGGTGATCTATCACTTGGGCTCCATGTAAAGTATAGTTGCGGTCTGGGTACATGTACATAATGGGATAAGTCAAGGCGAAGCACAACCCACAGATCATGTTAATGGGGTCCTTTGGCCGAGGGAGTTGTATTTTGCCGTACTGTAGTAAATGAACGTTTCAGGGCTAAGCGCTTGTAATTCTGATTTGCCCCATAGTACATAGTTATACTGAGTGGACTGTACAAATACTTTGGGCAAGCTCCACTGACCCAATCCATGTGCCTGTCATTCGACTACCCAGAGTATTTAGTGTGCAAGCCGCGTAGCCGGCAGTGTTTCCAGGTTGCCCGAAAACCCCTTCAGGGGTTGCTTATTGCGCACTAACTAGCTGGACCACTACGGTCATTGTAAAAGTCATCTTTCATGTTCCATTTTTTGAATACAAATTTCTTGGGATCATGAGATGTGAATGAACCATGACACATTGACAATACTTCAGTAGTAACTTGTAGTATAATGGCCCAGATTGGGCCTCTCAGGAGTTTGGAATTTGAAGGTACCCTAAAGCTTTTCAAGTGGGCTCTGCTCCCGCCCACCCACGCATGGGCCTCCGCCCCCTTGACCCCCGCCGGGGGACACCCCCACCCCCATCTGGAAAACCCCTCCCAAACCCTGCCGGCTACGCGCCTGGTGTGGCTATGATAATTATGCTGTAACTATCCGTATATCGAATCATCTCTGTTAGTTATCTGCGCAGACCATCTAGTATGACTATGGGGGCAAATGGTTTGATTTCTTGGGTTTCATCGTTTCTGTATTGCGCCCTGTTGCGTCCCTGAATGTTCTCTCTGCTCAGGGACATGTTGCTGAGTACTTGCTGTACGCATTTGGCAATGAAAGCTTTGCAAATAGCCGCAAGCAGGCAGCAAGGTCACTCAGGGTAAGGCGTTTCTGTTCGAAAGACAAAAAGCGCAGGTGCAATTTGTTTCAACCGCACATGCCACAGTATAAAGGGCATCATGGCTGGACTGGTTTGGGTTAGAAACCCCATGCAGTTGCACACTATGCTCTGCGTGCAGAATGTGTGGCGCTGAATAAATTCAAGGGATAGGGTTTAAGTTTACAGTGATGCTGTCGAACACACCTTGGTAGTGATAATTTCACATAAAATAACCACTTCAAGATGGCTAGTAATTAATGTGGACATGCCGAATTTGTCTTGGAAAATGCTGAAGGTCACCTTTGCAGGAGCATCCCTCTCTTTCAAAGTGTGATGTCAAGTCTGCGGAAAAGCGTGACTTCCAGTCTAGCGGCGAGCAACCAACTACTAGTATCCTACTGTAGAAGTACACATTTTCGTTCACGAAATCTTTCTTATTGGATCACTCCACCAGCAGGCTTGTTACGTACTAAATTTTTAGTCGAGGTCTGTCACCCCGAACGTTCAGAAAAATAACTTAACAAACTTTAGTTATTCCGTGCCCCCTAGCGAATATAGCCAAAGTTAATTCCAAACGAAAATTTCTACTTGAAGTCTTATACAGTACTCAGAAGCGCGTTTTATTGAACTTCAAAGATGGGGAGGGGGGGGGATAAAACGGAGATACTTCGTGAGAAATAAGAACTCAAATATAGTAAGTACCAGGGCATGTTTTAGAAAGGAAAAACTCAATCCCTAGGCAAAACAGAATATGCTTAAAACCAGCATGGAAGGAAGAGAAGGAAAGGAAGCAGGATGTTCCTAAATATCACAAAACAAAACAACCATGCTGAGAATGGGGGAAGTATTGCATTCACCCGACCAATCAAACAAAGCACACTTAGAGTTCGATGACGTTTCCATCCACACAAACGCTTAAAAACGAAAAACAAATAATACAGAACACTTTGAGACAGAATGAAATCAATGACAAAATTAATGACAAGTCCGTTGATGCTCGTCAACGCGGCATATGAGCCAACGTACGGCACTCCGTAACGAAGCGATGTCGGCCAATACCGCATCCACTGCGCAGGTATGATGCACGTGACCCCTGGAGGCAAGTAATCTGCCACCACATAAGAGATAGACTGATTCTGGAGCGCAAGTGGCTGATGATGAGGTGATATGGTATGTCCGAGTTCTTATGGTGTCGTTGTGTTGCGAGGGTCTTCAAAAAGATGGCACATTCGGGAGCACATTGTCCACCGGTGGCGAAAACAAGCGGAGCGAACGATCCTCGATCAACTTGATTGATTCGGTCGGAATACTGACGCTTTAAAGTCTTCTGACGTTTGTGTTGTGGTAACTGCCTTGACACTTCTGGTCCAGACAGCAAAGACGGCCTTGAGTGCCTGACCCGTACATCAAAAAAAGCGTTTTGCTGCCTAGTCCAGAAGCCACGAGCCCGTATACCCACACGAGCACCGTCAGCTGAGCTTCCCGAGACGGCTTCACCGCCCAGTGGCATTAGCTGTGGTTCAATTTCGACGTTGCATACAACACTAACGGGTGCGTTTGCCAGGAGGTCCCTCAGTTCATTATGTCGCCGAGTAGGGTATCCCCCACTTTGGCACGTGAGGGCGTGATGAACCGACATGTCTCGGCCACAAACACAGGATAATGATACGCCATCAAGCGACAGGCCATACCTCAGGCACATTGTGTCACGAAAATCGGACTTGTTGAAGATTGTTAATGGGAATGAAATCGAGGGAGGCGTAACCAGCCACGCCGACACACCGCCGTCACCGGCGACATCAACTAGTAGACACTGCTCACTCGTCAGAGTGGGCTTGATCTCATCCAATGCAGCATTGTGCTGCGCGCGGCGTTCCCGGCGAGCCTGCATGGCCAAACCCCCGGAGGCAGCGAGGATATCGGCAACAGGGCCGTCGATAGCATTAGTCAGCACGCAATCCACCATTGGCCTTATCAACGCTCGGCAAAGTAGATACTCAGCCTCCGCACGCACACTGCCAATGCGGAACGCCGTCGCTCCGGATACGGATATCCGTGCCGGCAAAACATCCTGGGCCTTTTCCATCAGGTGTGGACGGATGAGTAGAACAGTCTTCATGGCATTGGGGTAGTAGCCATACTGGGGGCCCTCCTCCACAATGCAATTCCAATGCCTACGCCGCGGCAAGAGCTCTCCGGCTGCGGCATTGTCATCCGCCTACCAATCTGACTGGTGCTTGGGAGTCGACGCGACAGCTGAGATACCAGGGGCACAGTTGCGAGAGCGTAGAAAGCCATGGCAAGAGGTTCCCCTTGGCATGTACCCTCCCGGGAATAGATGATCTCTCCACCATTGAGGTAGAGCGGGATGTTGGCCTGGTATCCGCCCAGCGGCAGGACAGGTTCTTGGGATGTTGTGTAGTGCCGCAGTCCTGTTCACAGAATTGAAGGCGTTGGACGCATCCACCAGCAGGATACCTTCAGTCGTCTCGCGGTCATAGAGGCAGGTCAAAGCCTGTACCCCGACCTTGCAAGCCGATGGGACGCCGACGCACAGCTGATGAGGAGCAGCAACCGCAGCCACATCCCTTTCGATTACCGACATGACCACTTTCCCAATCACCCGGCGAAACACCTTCCGGATGGCTATCGGCCTTACTCCAGGCTGCTTATCTAGTGGAAAGAGCCTTGCTGCCAGGAATGAGCGAAGATCCCGCTGCTCAATCGCTTCAGTGCAACGTATCCTACTAGTAACAGGCCCGCCGGAACCTGTCCGGTTGATCAGGTTAACACCGGACCAACTGTGTAGCTACCAACGCTGAGGAGGGACGTACATTTCCGTCATACTATACACAAACTGTATGAAAGACTATGGTACGACCGGACCAATTGAAAACTGCTTCCGGCGGTGCTGAGTACTACTACTACTACTACTACAAGTATCCTTCATTGTTCCATCTTTCTGTTGAAAGGATTAAATGTGCTCATCGGGAAGCTCTGATAATCATATGAATGGAATATTTACGTGTGACTTGTTATTTCTGATTTGTTCTGTCTGACTTTACAGCAACTGCTGCATATGAGGATCGAGAATGTAAGACATGTCCTTCTGGAGACGCTTGGAGAGGAATTTGTCCAAGAAATCGAGGTAAGTGAGTAGTCATGTGTGACTTGTTTCAGCATTGATCTTTCTGTAACGGCATGGTCACCTTGAGTGTGTGATACATGCATCATGGTTAGGTGCTTCGCACACACACCCACCCACACGCACACACACACACACACACACACACACACACACACACACACACACACACACACACACACGTGTGCACACGCATACATGCACTGCCACCGCTTGCATCAGCGTCGCCACAGCCACTGCTACGGGAGGTAGCGCACAAGCCTGAAATTATTGTGTGTTTTGTTTTCCATCATTTCTGACCTCGAGCATCTCTGTGGGTGGCTGATGCATGCGTTCGTGCTCATGCGTGTGTACGTGTGTGGGCATGTGTTTGTGTATGTATTTGTGTGTATGTGTGTGTGTGTGTATGTGTGTGTGTGGGTGTGTGTGTGTGTGTGGGGGGGGGGGGTGTATATGTGTGTGTGTGTGTGTGTGTTTGTGTGTGTGTGGGTGGGTGTTTGTGCATGTGCATGTGTGTGCACTTGTGTGTGTGTGTGTGTGTGTGTGTGTGTGTGTGTGCACGTGTGTATGAATGCTTGTGCTCCTATGGTGTCTGCCTGCAGTCATGCAATGACATGGATCACGTCAGTCTGAGTGTATCACCACTGCAAGCTATGACTATGAGAAGTGCATTGCTCCGACTTGAGTACACAGGAAAGCTGCTGTAAATCATCCAAGGACTATCTTGACCCGAAAACCATGAAGATTATAGAACTAACAAACACTGGAAAACCAGCCACGAATCTATAGCTAACGATCTGAATTTCCGAAGCATTGCATCTTTGCCATAATAGTCTCCTTGAGAATGATTTGTTTGGATTTGTGTAGTTTTTTTCTCGAGGCACGATTGTCTTGTGACAGTGTAAATTATATGTTGTTTCCATCTAGACCGCAGCTGTTCCTTTCTTGCTGTCCTTGAGCATGATCAAATGTTGCTTCAGTCATGCAGTTATCATGAATTTGCTGAAACGAGTCCCTTGATTCTTGTATCCTCTTGCATGGAACTACAGTAGATGATCCTGTTGATAGCAAAGGGCCGGAAGGCGTTTTAAAAAGTAACCGTACTATTTTCGAAACAGAAACACGTTTCTCCAATATAGTGGTACAGTTCCCGATAGTTACACATATTGAGTCATATCCTAAAGAGTGAGGTTACATGTTTGCAGAAATTCAAAGAAAAGTCTGGTGAAATAGTCATGATCGATGTGACATGATGGCCGTGGGTACGAGTGTTGGGAACTGGCCAGTGAAGTACCAACTCAATTTCCCCTTTCCTGTCTTGTTTAAAACAGAGTCAGCATAAATCCCCCCAATTGGCGCCAGCCTTTGGGTAATCCTGGAATAAAGATTATTATATTATTATTATAAAGTCTGCGCCTTGGGTTGAAGGTCTACTTTTAGTCAGGTACACATTAGTCATGATGTGATGGCATAATGATTGAACTTGTAGGCCGGTCGCGGATAAAAGCAGGTGCTTACGGCCGTACAAGCCGGGGTTCAAACCATGCTTCTATTTAAAACATGGTTCTACGTCAAGATCATCAGTCTATTACTGGTACTAGTATCCTGTTCAGCGCATACTGCCACGCATATACTTGCACAATAGTCATGTAATTTTCAGAGAGCTGCTTCTATTTAAATCATGCTTCTGTGCCACGGGGCGCTTTGAAAATTGGCTCTCGTTAAACAGGTCATGCTTTTATACGCGACACTACAGTGTACAATGTGCACAAAGGGGATCCTGCATGGCCTGGTGTGTACACCGACTGGATCAGTGCCAACCTCGGTGATCATACACTGATACAGTGCAGTGTTTGGGTACGTAAGCGGCCAACGCTCGGATCTTCGCGGCAGGCTTCTCGATTATTATCCACGGCGGAACTCTGGCAGATTGATTGTGAATCTATTGAGTGTTCAGTAGTTGCCGACACTCTCCCCGAAGAGCAGTATCATGCAGCTCTGTTTTAAATACATGCGCACAGCACACCATACTCAAAGAGTATGGCCGCCCAGACACTCGGTGTTGGTGAAAGCCTATGGATTTAGTCTCCCGATTGCAATCTGCCGGGACACCCTTGCAAAAGGAACAGTTGAAATGAATACTTTCAGTCACTGAGTGTCGCCTGCACTCTCGGACTGCTTTTATTGCCGCAATCTACTCCAATTCATCGAGCACAGGGTAAACAAAAAAAGGAAGTGGTCCTGAGCTTGATGGAGGCCATGTCTACCCCCCCCCCCCCCCCCACACACACACACAAACACACACACATACACACACAATGGAATTCTTTAAAGGGAAACTGAACGCCAAAAATAAGTATGGCTTATCCGAAGGAGAATTGGGCACTGATTCCGATGAGCTATGTCTCGAGCCGATCAGAGAAGAGGAACTGTGTCAAATTTCATAAATAACACCTCCCATATTTGGAAATTGGCCTTGATGACGTGCGTACTGCTTAGCTGTCACCATGCCGTGCATGTTCAGCAGTGTAATTGAATGGAAGAAAACAATTACTTTGGTGTTTTGCAGCTCTGTTTCGTTCCCTGACGGTAACCAAATCTAGATGTAGGAATTGTCGTAATATCTGGACTCTATTATGCGTACACTACTGTACACTTATGACTGTATGCGTTGCATGCTGTATGTACGTCACACAGGCCGTTTCCCGTAGGCCAGAACTTTGATGTGCTTCACTGGCTCGGGACTTCTCTTGTTTTGGACTTACCTACTGGTTGTGCATTTCTTGCTCCTCATTAGTTTACTCGTCCATGTCTCCTTGTCCCTATTGAGAATAATACTACATGGTGTCAGAATTGGGCTGCTGATAACGATGGCTGGATTTTCTATTCCATCCATGAGATGGGAGTCAGACAACCTCCCGGAGGAATTCGCCTCGTTTAGGCAGTATTGTGAATTGATTTTCGGAGGTCCGTACTCAGCGAAGTCAGCGAAAGAGCAATGCTCATATATCCTCCTTTGGATAGGCCGACCTGGTGTGGACATCTACAATTCCTGGACATTTGCAGACGAAGCTGACCGCTTCAAAGTGGACGAATTACTTTCCCGTTTTCAGGCCCACCTGCAGCCGAAAGTAAACGCGTGGCTGGCCCGTTTCCAGCTTCAACAGCAACGGCAAAATGTGGGGGAAACCACTGACGATTTTCTCTGTCGCTGTCGGAACTTGGCAGTGAAGTGCAAATTTGCCGATGCCGGTGAAGTCAACACCCGTTTGCTAGAGCAGCTGATTGTCGGCACCCGACATAAAACGGTACAGGAGAAGCTGTTGGAGAAGGGCGACCAGTTGTCGTCTCTTGACGAAGGGCTGGAAGTTGCGAGGACACATGAAGCTACAGCTACCCAGATGGCTCAGCTACCCGGGTCTCGCTCCGCCAGTGTTAGCCCTGCTGACGTATCCTTTGTTAAAAAGTCTGCTCCGAAGAGATCCAAGGATTTCAAGAAAAAACAACAAAAAAAGAGTTGTCAATTCTGTGGGAAGGAAGACCATGATCGTGCAGTATGCCCAGCTCGATCAGCTGAGTGTAATTTCTGTAAGAAACAAGGGCACTTTGCTACTGTGTGCCAGAAGAAGCAACGATCCTGTGACGCTGTACATACTGTACCGCCAGATGCGCATGGCCCTGGCATGTTTCTCGGCAGCGTCGATGCCGGACGTGACCCTTGGTCTGTGTCGGTGGAAGTCAACAATTCCCCAGTCATGATGAAGATCGACACCGGAGCCGATGTCTCTGTAATTCCAGCAAGTGTATTCCGCCTGTTAGATGCGCAGGCCCTGCGACCCAGTCGTCGTACCCTGATGTCTGCTAACTCAAGCGTCCTCGACGTAGCTGGCGTGTTCGACGCAGTGGTAACACATGCGGGCAAGTCGTCTCGCCAAGAGATTTTCGTTGCCAACAACCTCAAGCAGGCCCTCCTAGGACGCCCTGCAATAGTCGCCTTGGACCTCCTGGACGTCAAGGCTGACATCTCTGAAGTATCGAGCGGTATTCGCGACACCGCGACAGCACGAGCTGCATACCCCGATTCGTTCAAACCTCTCGGCAGGTTCACTGGAGAGCCTCACTGCATTCGCCTCGAAGAAGGCGCCAAACCATTTGCTCTGTCCTGCCCGCGCGACAATGTGGCAATACCGCTAATGCCGATTGTTAAAGCGGAGCTTGAGAAGATGGAAAAGCAAGGCGTCATCGTCCCTGTCGACGAACCAACTGATTGGTGTGCTGGCCTTGTTGTTGTCGCCAAACCTGGAGGGGAGGCAGTCCGTCTGTGCGTTGACTACACACGTCTCAACCAACACGTTCGTCGTGAGCAGTTCGTCTTGCCGGCGGTAGACCACACGCTGGGTCAGTTGGGCGGTGCCAAGTATTTCACAAAGCTTGACGCCAACTCTGGGTTTTACCAAGTGCCCTTGGCCAAGGAATCCCAGAAGTTGACCACGTTTATCACCCCGTTTGGGCGTTTCATGTTCACGCGTCTACCATTCGGTATTTGTTCGGCTCCCGAACATTTTCAGAAACGAATGGCTCGGATCTTGAACGGTGTGGTTGGTACCGCATGTCAGATGGACGACGCTCTAGTGTTCGGTAGCACTGAAGAGGAACATGATAACCGGCTGCACCAGGCGCTACAACGGCTCAGCGACAACGGCGTCACACTCAACCCGGACAAGTGTCTCTTCAAAGTCACTTCTGCCAAGTTCTTGGGTCATATCATCGACCAAGACGGCATCCACTCTGATCCCCAGAAGGTGCAGGGCATTCAAGACTTCACACCATGCCAGGATGTCTCGGATGTGAGAAGCTTTCTCGGCCTCGTCAACCAGCTTGGCAAGTTCTCTCCCTCACTTGCTTCCGTCTCACAGCCGATCCGCGACCTTCTCAAGAAAGGCAATGCCTGGTCCTGGGGACCCCCTCAGCAATCGGCATTTGAAGAGATTAAGGCTCTTCTGTCGTGTACGCCTGTTCTTGCTCTGTACTCTCCCGAGTACCCAACTATTGTCTCTGCAGACGCCTCGAGCTATGGTCTCGGTGCCGTTATCAAGCAGCAACAGCCGTCCGGCGATTGGAAACCCGTATCGTTCCAGTCTCGTGCACTACTGCCGGCAGAGCGTCGCTATGCTCAAATAGAAAAGGAAGCTCTTGGCCTCACCTGGGCTTGCAACCGATTCTCTGATTACCTCATCGGTAAGAGATTCACGCTGGAAACAGATCACAAGCCTCTGGTGCCCCTGTTCAGCACCAGTGCTCTCGACTCTATCCCTCCACGTGTACTTCGGTTCCGGCTCAACCTGATGCGATTTGATTTCGACATCGTACACATCCCTGGCAAAGATCTAATCGTTGCTGATGCCTTATCTAGGTCACCTGCGTCGCGTCCTCTGTCCGCTGATGACGTCCGCCTCCTCGACGACGCAGAAGCTTTTCTCGACAGTGTGGTTTCTCATCTCCCTGCGTCCGATGCAAGACTGAGTGAGATTCAACACCAGCAGGCTCAAGACCCAGTGTGTCAACATCTTGTGCAGTACACTCTGTCCGGTTGGCCAAGTTTACAGTCTGCTCCAGTGTCCGTTAAGCCCTACTACGCATCCCGGCAGTCATTCTGTATCACAGATGGCCTGCTCCTGTACGGTTCCAGAATCGTCATCCCGGACCAGCTCCGTCCAGAAGTCCTCCAGCAGCTCCATGTTGGTCACCTCGGCATCACGAAGACCCGCGAAAGGGCTCGCCAGTCAGTTTGGTGGCCAGGTCTAAGCGCCCAGTTGGCTGATATCATGTCCAATTGCCAAGCCTGCGCTCGTGACAAGCCAACGCCAATGGAGCCCCTGCTGTCCTCACGTCTTCCCGAGTTCCCGTGGCAGGAAGTCGCTGCCGATTTCATGCAGTTCCAAGGCTCTCAGTACCTAGTTGTCGTCGACTACTACTCCCGATGGATCGAGCTTGCTCAGATGTCCCGTACTTCTGCAGCTTCTCTCATCACGCAACTGAAGTCCATGTTTGCGCGTCACGGCAATCCAGATGTGTTTGTTTCGGACAATGGTCCCCCATTCACAAGTGCAGAGGTTTCGGCATGGCTTCAAGAGCAAGGAACCATCCAGCGCACGAGCAGCCCTCTTCATCCGCAAGGCAACGGCTTAGTGGAACGCGCAGTGCAGACCCTAAAGCATTTGCTGGTGAGGGGAGGTGATCCGTATGTTGCTCTGCAGCGCTATCGTGCCAGTCCACTAGCACATGGCTTCAGTCCTGCGGAGCTCCTCATGGGCCGCCGCATCCAGACGCGTTTACCCATGTCGGCAGACGTTCGACGGCCATACCTCGTAGATCGCACAGCGTTTGCCGCTAAAGACGCCTCTCTGAAGTCCCGGCAAGTGTCGGATTTCAACTCCCGCCATCGCGCTCTCGATGCTACGCCACTGGTCCCGGGTACCGCTGTCTTTGTTCCGGATAGGAAAGAGCCTGGTATTGTCACTGCCGAGCATTCCACCAGGTCGCTTATCGTGGAAACGCCATCTGGTTCGGTTCTCCGCCGCAACCGCAGTGACCTCATCGTCGATCCGCCTGCAGGTTCTGCTAACGACGCTGTGGACAATGGTGAGCCAGCGTCACCTGCCCAACGTCCATCTCCAGGTACTCCCGTCCCTGAGCGTTCCGGTAGAGTTACCCGTTCTGGACGTGCCGTTCATACTCCTATCAGATTCCGTTAATCATTTAGCGTTACTCTTTCGTCTTCAGCATTATTCCTGTTTTGCTAACTTATCGCTCTCTTGCTGCGCGCCCTGAAAGGGGAGATGTCGTAATATCTGGACTCTATTATGCGTACACTACTGTACACTTATGACTGTATGCGTTGCATGCTGTATGTACGTCACACAGGCCGTTTCCCGTAGGCCAGAACTTTGATGTGCTTCACTGGCTCGGGACTTCTCTTGTTTTGGACTTACCTACTGGTTGTGCATTTCTTGCTCCTCATTAGTTTACTCGTCCATGTCTCCTTGTCCCTATTGAGAATAATACTACAGGAATCTGTTGAGCAGGAGAGTGACACATGTCTTCCCGAAGGCTGTCCAGGCTACAGTGGTGATGAAGAAGACACGATCATCACCCCGAGATCGATCGTAGCGAATTGGAAAACTCATGGTGAATTTGCTTCCACTCCAAGGCAATGTCGAGGTATGAAGGGTGCTTGTACTGCCTTCCAAAGTGAAGAGGAGATGAACATGGCTTTGCATAGCTGTTGTTCTATGCCAACTTACCTACTCTTGCTGGTACCGTAGTGGCATATTGCAAATTTCGTGGACGAACGACTTTAGTCACGAGTGGCTAGTGAGCAACACAGGTGAGATTTTTCAATTCGACAAAAAATTGTTTTTGTTTGAGAACTGACAGTGGCAGTCATTAGACTCAGTAGGTGTCTCTCTGCTGCTTCTTTCCCTTCATTGGTAGGGTTGTGCTTGAAGTAAAATAAAATAAATAGAACATGTGGAACATAAATCTAATCAAGCATCAGTACATGTATTGCGAAGGTCAACTTCAAAGCACATGACATCACAATGATCACGAAGTTTATGTAATCAGGAGTACACCCTGTGTTCAACGAACACATACACACATGCTGTATTGCGCACACACATGTACACATGTGCGTGCACCCCATCCCACAGACACACGCATGCAGCGCGCACATCCATACACATGTGCGTGTACCCCCCCCCCCCCCCCCCCCACACACACACACACACTCCACCCATACACATGTGCGTGCCCCCCCCCCCCCCCACACACACACGTGTGCACATACAGATACACAAACACACACGCACGAACACACACACACAAGATACGTGTAAGTGTACATGATCTTCCTGGTGCAGATGCTGAGCCAGCACAATGGAAAATACCTCCATCAAGATGCTTGATCAAGTGTTGTGATAATGGCACTGTTTGTTTGTTTTTACAAAGAAGTGTGGGAAAGATTACAATGCATTATAATTCATAATTGTTCTTTGCCTTGTACGGTGCAGACCAGAATGCTTCGCTATCAACTCCTGGCTTTCCATCGGCATGGTGTTCAGCTGCAGCGGCATCTGGTCCGGGGAGTTCAAGTTGCTGGATAGCTGCACTGACACAGGATGGGTTTGCGTTGGCAATGGGATACGGCAGTCATCCCACATCACGAGCTACATGTTTTTGTAATTTATATTGTCGCTCGTCCAGCAACGTCAAGGCTCTGCATGTAAACACAGGAGAACACCATAATACTACTCAGGGGATAATAATTTTGGATATCAATTTTGTGACAATTATTAGATTCACACAATATTCACAACGTATGCAACACGATGCTGTCTATTGACACTACTTCAAACTGAAGTGCTCACTACTCCTCTCCCGTTTTCATCTCCCTCTACCTTATGAATACTCCGCATTACTGGTTTCGTTTCTACCCTTTCCATTGCTGCCAGCTCCCAGTCTTTTTCAATGCACAGCACCACCTTGACAGTCATTTTTGTGATTTGATGTACACATACTTTGAAGTTCAAATTCGAATTACATGATCAGATTTTTGTTCCACATTTTCTATTTATTTTTACTTCAAGCACAACCCTACCGATGAAGGGAAAGAAGCAGCAGAGAGACACCTACTGAGTCTAATGACTGCCACTGTCAGTTCTCAAACAAAAACAATTTTTTGTCGAATTGAAAAATCTCACCTGTTAGTGTTGCTCACTAGCCACTAGTGATTAGAGTTGTTCGTCCACGAAATTTGCAATATGCCACTACGGTACCAGCAAGAGTAGGTAAGTTGGCATAGAACAACAGCTATGCAAAGCCATGTTCATCTCCTCTTCACTTTGGAAGGCAGTACAAGCACCCTTCATACTTCGACATTGCCTTGGAGTGGAAGCAAATTCACCATGAGTTTTCCAATTCTCTACGATCGATCTCGGGGTGATGATCGTGTCTTCTTCATCACCACTGCAGCCTGGACAGCCTTCGGGAAGACATGTGTCACTCTCCTGCTCAACAGATCACTACATCTAGATTTGGTTACCGTCAGGGAACGAAACAGAGCTGCAAAACACCAAAGTTTTCTTCCATTCAATTACACTGCTGAACATGCACAGCATGGTGACAGCTAAGCAGTACGCACGTCATCAAGGCCAATTTCCAAATATGGGAGGTGTTATTTATGAAATTAACACAGTTCCTCTTCTCTGATCGGCTCGAGACATAGCTCATCGGAATCAGTGCCCAATTCTCCTTCGGATAAGCCATACTTATTTTTGGCGTTCAGTTTCCCTTTAAAGGGGAAGTATACCCTAAAATCAAATTTTCACCAGTTGTAGTCTTCTGGGTGCTGAGTCGAATGGTCTTGGTCCGAGGAAGCTGCGACGCTCCCTTCCTACTTGAATCCCAATCGAACTCGCGCACTTCCACCGAAACTGGGTGACTGCGCCCTACTAGATGGGGATTTGTATGCAAAATGTCACTAAAAGCGCCATTTCGTTCTTATAAAAGCACGGATGACCGCGATTGGCCCATATGTTGTAGTCTTTTGGACGCTGAGTCGACTGGTTTTGGTCCGAAAAGGCTGCGATGCAGCGTTCCTCCTTTATTCCCAATCGAACATGGTTGAACAAGCGGTCACGTGCTCCTGCGTACACCAGTCAGCTGGTCACCGTGCCTGCAGGGTACAACTTACTAGCCTATTTGACCTTTTTTGGGTGCAGTCCTGTCACTCGAGTTGAACTCGAGTTGAACCTTGGTGTGAAAGTTGTCGCCTGCTGGCGCGGTGACCAGGTGATTTGGGCACCCAGGAGCACGTGACCGCTTGTTCAACCATGTTCGATTGGGAATAAAGGAGGAACGCTGCATTGCAGCCTTTTCGGACCAAAACCAGTCGACTCAGCGTCCAAAAGACTACAACATATGGGCCAATCGCGGTCATCCGTGCTTTTATAAGAACGAAATGGCGCTTTTAGTGACATTTTGCATACAAATCCCCATCTAGTAGGGCGCAGTCACCCAGTTTCGGTTGAAGTGCGCGAGTTCGATTGGGATTCAAGTAGGAAGGGAGCGTCGCAGCTTCCTCGGACCAAGACCATTCGACTCAGCACCCAGAAGACTACAACTGGTGAAAATTTGATTTTAGGGTATACTTCCCCTTTAATTAGTCATTCTGAGCCAGTACCAAAATTTAGTATGGCCCCAATTTCGTGGCCCTGGTTGTGCCAAGGATTGTGGTTGTGCAGGTCGCTTCTTTCAAAAATAATAGAACATTGTAATCTCAATCTAGAACTTTGATGACGTATAGCAGCAATACACAGCCTATGCAGTCTACACAATCAATGGAATTGGATTAGGCCTTGACGGATTATGCTAGCATAATTTTTCGCATAATTCCTACCAAAAATCGAATAATCGCACAATTCGAGGCAAATTGCATACGAATCGCATAAATTGGAATAATCTGCCAGTTCTTATCAAATTCAATACAGTTGTACATGTACATGTCCTACGACTAGTACGAGTACAAGTACAAGTAGATGCACCAGGAAGTAGTAGGTTTACGACTCCCTTGATAACATGTCCAGTCCAACAATCAGTGACGGTCGGAGCTAGGTCGGACGGTGGGTTGACCCAGTTGAACTTTTGCTACTACAGTACAACGCCCTCTACAAAAAAATACCCCTGTTATTTTGCACAGAACCATCGTATACAATAGCAACATATGTGAGCATAATACGGCATAATATGATAACTTTTAGCATAAAAAAAGCATAATTCTGCAATTTGTTCAGCAATGCGAAAAGCATAATTTCACGAAAATATTAGCATAATCCGTCAAGGCCTAAATTGGATCTTACAATAATTATGGTTTCGCCATAATCAATTATTATGATTATTTTGTTGTGCAGTGTGGCGCTGTGAAGCTGCAATGCAATTACTGTGGATACTCATATACCCACGAATATAGACTGGCCGTGGTTGGATGAGCCCCAACTTGCCCAGATTTTTTCATGTGCGTTGACGTGGCTCCTGAGGCTGTTTGAGTGTTATGTGCCTGGCTGTATCTGTCATTTGAGCTAGGAGGATGGAAGACATTCGGGCAGCCATTCTCTCCTTGGCTAGACTCTCCACAACGCCAAGTCAGTTTCAGTGATTTCGAGAAAAGTACCGGGTCGTCTTCAAAGAACTTGTAGGCACTCATCTGACCAGGGTTTGCTTTGCATGTCAAACCGGAGTGATCTCCGTGGAAGAGACCCTTGTTGAAATAGTACGCCGACAGGAAGAAATCCTCCGTTCCAGAGGAGAGAAACTGCGTTGGCTTACCATCAATGTCAGCACGGAAGCAGGCTTCAAGATATGTGAAGTCGGTGCTGTTTGCATGCAGTGTCACCTACAAGTTGGGTCACAAACAGAGAGAACAGTGAGGAATTCTTACGTTAGCTTCACTAATTTGAAATAATTAGTAAATCATTTTCTCCGTTCCCGAGGGAGCTCACGACGCCCGCTAACCGTGACCCTGAAAATCCTGCAGCAGTTGCAGTGCCTAACGCAGAGCGGGGGTAAGTCGCATAACCACTTGCACAAGTGTTGAAAACCCCATTAGCCACATCCAAGTGCCGATAAGTAAGTAAGTAAGTAAGTAAGTAAGCTATCGTGTCCGTTCCCAAAGGGAACTCATGCCAGTCGCTACCACCCGGTAAACCCAGCATGCACACAAAGCACGCTCACAGAACCCATGTCTTCTGATATGTTTTCTCATGCACTGTAACATGTGCACGGCAGGTCAATTGTAGGGCGATGAGTATTGTTCTCTTGCATCCTTTCTCAGCGTAACTAACATCATGAACTGCACATCGCTATCGATGGATTGCTGATCAGCCAGAGAACAGCGCCTGGCTGGAGCGGGGTGGGTTCAGAGCTGCCGGTTTTGTCCCGCAAGTGGTGATGCAGGGGCTGCAATATACACAAAGTTATAATACGTTGAAATTTGTGCACGTGGGCGGGCACGGGTAAAAAAAGCACGCTTTGAATTCTTGATACCAGTCTCACCTGATAGAGCCATCCTGCGGTAGAGCCACTTGTTTGCGCTGCAGTGACAAAATCCAGTGGTTGTAGCAATGCGTTTTCGACCTTGTACAGCTTGAGTCGTGTACCTTCTGGAAGCTGAAATCCACCCACAGTCAATGGGACGTTGGTCAACCCTCGCACAATGTACCAGAAGGCTCCAGCCTGTGGAATAGTCGCCGTTACCTTCACCGAATGACCGAATGGAATTCTGTATGTATTATAAACACTGCCGTGAGCTTCTCGTGCGATGCGGCGAGTCTGCCACGGTAAATCGGGATCGTCGTCGCCGATCGGACAACCCACACCGTGCGCCATGAAGAGATTGAAATCCAGGGATGGTGCTGTCTCGTTGTCAATGTAAATGCGAATCCGCGTGTCCTGACTCAATGCCAGCTCTCCGGTGAACCACTGCTCGGTGATGAATCCTGCCTCCTGTCCGTATACGGCGAACAACTCGGTCTCCACGTTGGCTTGAATGTGGCCACCCTTGGTAGCCGACGAAAATGAGGACATGGTCGGATTTAGAACGACGGGAGTGGCAAATCGAGCGGCATAAGCAGCTTCCATAACGGTGAATAGAACCAACAACGTTTTCATTCTGTCCATGCTTGTTTCGAAGTTCTAGCAAAGAAGGATCAGGACTCGAGAGTTGATCAGCTCGGCAACTCTGGCTTCTTCACTGACCAGTTGCACTTGTTGTCCGCAAACTCAACGTTCACGTGGGATCGATGTCAGTACTTTGTCACCCTTCGTGGCCGTGGGCTCTTGTTGCTTTCTCTAGCCCTCCTTTTTATTTCCTTCGTCCTTGTGTGTAGTTTTGTAGTGCATGCAGGGACTGCATGAGCAGGCTGTGCAACCAACGCTAGCGCCGCTAGCGCTGCTCAACGCCAAGATCACAGGGCCCATTGGGGTCATGGTAACGGAAATGGCGTCAGACAGCGTCCCCTTTTTCCAGTTTTGTACGACTTTTTGAACCTGGAACTTCAGCTTTTCTGTTTTGATTTGCCGTCTCAGCTCAGCATCTGGCGAGTTTCTTTTCAAACAGACTACCATTATCCTTCTACGGAAAGAAATTTATCTTCCATTTACTATCTGCTCTTCCTGCAGACCGTAGACTGTAATCTGTGGAGTGTTCTTGTGAGTCAGCTTTATCTTGTATTGGCTGGTGGACGTCTGTGTACTCTTGCTCCTTGCGCTTGAGTTTGCTGTGACGAGTAAGGTGCCATGGATCCTGCTCAACTTCACATGAATTTGAAGCACAATGCCGAGGACTTGCAAGATTTTCTGCGAGGCATGGGTTCCTGGGAAGAGGATATGAAGAAAAAAGACGCAGAGCTGAGGCAGCAGAGGAACGAAGCTGTCCGTAATGTGAGATATTTCGGAGGAAAAATTGACTTTCTTTTAACATGCTCCCACTTACGTCTATAGCACACAGTGGCATGCGTCGTGTGGACAACTGTTTGCGTCACGGCATGTGTAGTGAAACGTTTGACTTTATTCTATACCACACTGAGGATAGCGCAGTGTTTCCATCATTCTGTACTTTATAGTCAATGTACATGTACTCACTATTCATTGCTCAAGGCCGGATGATTGGGGAAAAAAGAATATAATTATTGTGTGCTCAAAACTTACCTTCTATCTAGTGTGAAGAGAAAAGAATGCTATATCCAGTGTGCTGTTCGCCGTACAAACACGGGCATAGGTTGCGGAGACGGGAGTGGACCTGACAGTGGCATTGAAAACTACAGTACCGCCACAGCCATTGTATTCTCGACAACACCGGCACTCGAAATGCGTGTCTACTCATCACCGCATGTGCGACAGCTGTTCTGTTAATGTCAATGTCTGATAATAATACTGTTGAGGATTTGACACCATGGAATAGGAGTTGTAGATTTTTATTTCAGGTGGCACTGCCTCTGTCACCAGAAAATGAGCTGCAGCCTCCAGATTTCCTTTGCTGTCAGCTCCCCAGAACAAGCAACGTATTAGAATGTCCTAAATGCTGAGAAGGCTGAATACTGAATGCTTGTCCAAAGGAGTCCCAGTGAAATCCGTATTTAGAACGCCGAAATTTACACGAAGTTGCCTCCTCGTCGTGCCCTGGAGCGCACTGCTTAAGTTAGCCTTCAGGAAATTGAAGGTCTTTCTTTAGGGATAGAGCTTGATAGCAAGCATTGGCGTCTTGCTGGAAAAGAGTCTGCAGTGAAAGCTGTGTTTGTTCATGCTCTTACTGCACTTTGTCCGGATTGAGTCCGATTTTAGCTTAGTCCCGTCTGTGTTTTGATGTATCAATTTGGATCCTGTCCAGGTGCCACCAGTGCGGGGGAGTACTTCCAACTCTCGCAGCGAAGCAACCACAGCTTCACAACAGAGCAGTAGCTCGTCGCAGCAGAAGGCGTCGAAAATCCGTGGCTTTGATTACAGGGCATGGGACAAACTTGATGTGGTACGTTGTGATACTGTGCTGGTTGCTGGGTACCCGTATCATCAAGAGTGCTTAGTTCTACAGTGACCATCAGACCTCGTTACTCAGCACCATTTTACCCAAACAGAAACCAGTGGCTACACAGTTGAGATCTGGTCATAATAAATGATGTATTGTGGGAAGTTTGCAGCAACCTGCTGCTCTAGATCTAGTGTGTTGGCTGGCTTACTCTTTCTGAAGTGCAATGGCATATGCACTTACCGTTATCTCCCTGCTAGTGGTACAGGGTAAGAACAGTGTTACCAAGCGCTCTCCGGTTCGTGTTGTGTACTGACCAACGCCATTTTCCGTACAAGCGGGACAACCTTTGTGTCTGTGTGCTAGTAATTGCCAAAGTACTGTCGACTCCTGATTATAACGAACACCATTGTGCAAGAGAATTAGTTCTTTATAGCCGAAGTTCGTAATAACAGAAATGCACTCACACTATACAAGCAACAAATCATAACTGACATGTGCCCCATTACAGTGTGACTGCACTTGGTTTACATGCAACCCTACAAGATTTGGTTCGTTATAAACGAAAACTGTTCGCTACAAAGGGTCAATTTTGTATGGGTTCAAAAAGGGACATCGACAATGGTTCGCTATATCACGAAATTCGCTATATGCAAGTTCGTTATAAGTGGAGTCGACTGTGTAGTGCACACATACATACACCATGTACCCCCCCCCCCCTCCCTTCTCGTCATGACCAATTCCGCTCAGAGGAAATCCTGGGCTCTTCGCCATCGCTTCATATTGTGTTTGATTCGTTCTCTGTAGGACAAGGTATGTGACGAAATGGACGAGCAGGAGGAGATGAGAACAGCTTCAGGGCTTGACACAAGCAACGTCCAGGTGCAGCAGGAACAACAGAACACAGATGACAAGGCAGAGGAGACGGAGAACACATCGGATGAGGAGGATAGCGAAGATGAGCAGCAGAGAATGCGGGACCTAGCTGTCATGCTGAAGGACAAGGTACCTTGTTGTTTGCTTTATCCTACATGTAATCTAAGGCTGACTTTCACTGTGTCTAGGGTTTCACCAACACTTTCTGCATTTCTGTGAACTTTGTTTGTATTCTTTATTTAGAGTGGGAAGTCCAAAACAGGCCCTAGCCTAATAACAATGGTCCCACTAGTGAGGGAATGCTGTATATCTGTGCATAAGCCTAGCGGATCAGTGAGTGTAACAGCAACTAGTAGGGAAAGAAAAAGAGAGAAGAAAAACAACTCAAAACAGGAGTTGCGACTTCACGCTGGAACATGTACCTCCCCCCCCCCCCCCCCCAAACACACACATTCCCAACACCCCTCTTATTCCCCACCATAATAGGCTCCAAATAATTAATCACAGTTTGCAATCAAGGCGTGTGTGGGGGGGGGGGGGGAGGAGATATGTGCTTATGTTAGAGACACTGCTGTATGTGAAAGAGCTGGGTGGCTTCTTGTGTGTTTGTAGGGAAATGCTCACTTCAAGAAGGGCGACTATGTATCGGCTATTGAGTGCTACACGAAAGGCATGACAGCCGATCCTAGGAACTCCGTACTTCCAGCTAATCGTGCCATGGCTCTGTTGAAGGGAGAAAGGTATGTGCACCAGTGCATCATAATGTGGATGCGTGTATGTGCATGTGTGTGTGTGGGGGGGGAGTCTTATGTTTGTGTTTATCTGCACTGCACACACGGTCTCAATTTGGTTTGCCTATCGCCGGTACACGGGGAGATCGGTAGGGGAGTGCCTCTCCCGGTGGCATCCGCATAATGTGAACTAGTGCAATGTGAAGTAAAATCGTATAGAAAATCACCAGTGTTTTGGCCAGTGTTCAACTCTTCTCGCATCTTGTCATAGCATTTTCATGCCTTTGCTTGTGCTTATTTGTAATACTTTTCACACTACTCAATCTCTGTGTTTCATACTATAATGGTACATGCATTCAACCGGTGTACCTACGAGTATGATCCTCCGCTTGTACCAATGCTGACTGTAGCTGGGCCATCACCAGTGTCTCTAGGTGCTGATTTGGCTTGTGTAAACTAAGCTTTAAAAGAGTTAAAGGGGAAGTTAAGGCAAAAATCAAAATTTCACCAGTTGTAGTCTTCGGGGTGCTGAGTCGAATGGTCTTGGTCCGAGAAAGCTGAGGCGCTCCCTTCCCACTTGAATCCCAATCGAACTCGCGCACTTCCACCGAAACTGGGTGACTGCGCCCTACTAGATGGGAATTTGTATGCAAAATGTCACTAAAAGCGCCATTTCGTTCTTATAAAAGCACGGATGACCGCGATTGGCCCATATGTTGTAGTCTTTTGGACGCTGAGTCGACTGGTTTTGGTCCGAAAAGGCTGCAATTCAGCGTTCCTCCTTTATTCCCAATCGAACATGGTTGAACAAGCGGTCACGTGCTCCTGCGTACACCAGTCACCTGGTCACCGTGCCTGCAGGGTACAACTTACTAGCCTGTTTGACCTTTTTTGGGTACAGTCCTGTCACTCGAGTTGAACCTTGGTGTGAAAGTTGTCGCCTGCTGGCGTGGTGACCAGGTGATTTGGGCACCCAGGAGCACGTGACCGCTTGTTCAACCACGTTCGATTGGAAATTATGGCTGAACGCTGCATCGCAGCCTTTTCGGACCAAAACCAGTCGACTCAGCGTCCAAAAGACTACAACATATGGGCCAATCGCGGTCATCCGTGCTTTTATAAGAACGAAATGGCGCTTTTAGTGACATTTTGCATACAAATCCCCATCTAGTAGGGCGCAGTCACCCAGTTTCGGTGGAAGTGCGCGAGTTCGATTGGGATTCAAGTAGGAAGGGAGCGTCTCAGCTTTCTCGGACCAAGACCATTCGACTCAGCACCCCGAAGACTACAACTGGTGAAATTTTAATTTTTGCCTTAACTTCCCCTTTTTAAAACTGGTGACAAGTTAGACTCCATGTGGACAGGAATACGCCTATGTGCTCTCCTGGGACGGCAAATAAACCCTGGGTGACTTTCCACAAAGAGTACAGTGGAGCCCGGAAATAACGACTCCAGTAGGCAAGCCAAACACATTTTGTAAGATATTTCTAATATGTGTAAGGGTACGCTGTATACGACAGACTCCTCTTGCCAGTCTTGGAGGACAGTCTCACTAGCACGAGTAACTTCACAGCAGCTGTGCAGTCAGTTTGCGCAGTCTATTGTTTCCGTCGGTAGCAGGAAATTCGTTGCTTCTGCATTGCAGACCGAATTGTTGAGTGCCATGACTCAGTTACTCTCTGTAGCAAGAGCAGACAGCTGAGGTGTGTCCCACCGTGCCTGTGTTCTACTGTAGGTATAAAGCTGCTTTGCAGGACTGTGAAGTGGCACTGTCTCTTGATCCTGCCTATGTCAAGGCCAGGCTACGGCGTGCTGCTTGCCTGGTCGGACTCGGGCAGCAAGACGATGCCAAGAAAGGTCAGTAAACTGTGTGTGGTGCATGCCTTTTTCTAGCTACCGCATGTCCGCGTGCGTGCAACCCGTCATGTCCGCGTGCACGCGCGCACACGCACACACACACACACACACACACACCAGTGCCAATCCACCTCATCATTTTCATCATGGATGAACAAGTTCCAGCCATTCAATATTCTTACAATCCTGACTGATGACATCTGATCTATCGAAACGGCCGTATGGAAGGAATGGCAGTATTGACAACAACTTGACGTCTTGTTGCTGGTGTGGTGAATGGTGTCGGCCGGAGAACGCATGTGGTGGGGAGTTTGTTACAGAATTATTGAGGCAGTGACAAGACTAGTAAGTAGTGACAAGAGATATCATATTACCATTCTGTGTTATAGTAGAAGGCAGAACATGCTGTATTATTCTACTATTAAGCGTTGAACATATCAAACACCGGCCTCACTAATGTATGCATTGCTCTCTGCTGCGATGCTACAGATTATGAGGAAGTACTGCGCTTGGAACCTGGCAACAAACAGGCCCAGCAGGACTTGAAGAAACTGGCAGTGGTAAGTCCCGGAAAGGGATTTCTTATGATTCTTGTTGGGTGTCTCGGGGATTGGTTTTGTCTTGTGACATTGTTGCGTGCACAGTCCTGTGACTGCAATAGTCCTGATGAGCGCAACAGCAAGCTCGACTTCTACTTTTCTGCAGTAGCATCAAACCTTGAATTTGCCTTGGCAGCATCAAATTTCTATTTACAGTGCGTTTTTTTAAAACAGACATTTGTCGATTTTGATTTTTTAGTTTGTTCTCATTCCAAATTTGAAATTTTTTCTTCACAGCTGCTTTTGTGTGGGTCTTGGATCGAAGAAAATTAAGTTTGGAAATCGGAATAATAATAATTGTCAAAGTTAGATATTCGAACGGGTTTTGGCTGAAAATCCGGTTTTAAATGGTTTTCAGTGGATTTTGATTTTAAAACGAAAATTTTAGCCGGGAAAGCTCATCACGTGCATGGTGTCCGCCAGAGTTCGAATCCAGTACAGTTCATCTTGATTCTTTTTTTCTCTTCTTTTTCGGTACAACGCATGCATGTACATGTACATGTACATGACCGTGCAGTTGTGCACTGCTAGCTGTCTGCAGTTCTCCTAACCAGTTACCTTTGTAGGAAACCAGTGAGCCGTGGCTTTTCACGACTTACTGTGGCAAACTGTACTGAATAATTCAAATGCTGTATTGCAATTAGCTCAATGAATCAAAACATTCCAGCATGCATGTAGGAAACTTCCCTCGATCCCTGAAAGAATGCAGTGAAAATTCCAACACCACAACAAATCACAAGGGCAATTAACACAGCACCCATAAAGAGACTAAAAGGAAGCAATACATGAGCGGTTTTACAAACACACAAACACACACACACACACACACACACACACACACACACACACACACACACAAACACACAATGCAAATAGGTCACAGTTGTGTCTGGTTCAACATCTGCGAATAGTAGAAGACTAGTGAGCGTCGAAACGGCCCCAATAATTCCGTGTTTTGTGTTGCACTTGTGACGACAGTATTACACAGTGAACAGATGTGCTAGGACAGCCGACGACGTATATCATCGTTGGCGTCGGCCTCGTCGGTCTCCAGTCACGAACACATCGGCGCAGTTTTTCACGAATCCGTCCCGTCCACCAGTATATGCAGAACAATAAAGCGCTTGCCTTTACCTGATGGAGCTTCATTTGGTTGCTTGCATACACTCCTGTCACCATTGTCGGACCACCTCCTAGTAACTGTGTGACGCGCATTGACCCACGTGTCATCCAGGTATGTCTCACAGGTAGGGATGCCGCCATGACACAATCCCGTGCCGTTCCATCATCATGTGTGTGATACCTCTGGTCTTGCCACACTGGAATCCCATGGAACGCAACATTTTCCAAGAGCTAGTTTTGCTCATGTCTGGAAAATCGTCGATGCTTTCTATGCAGCGAGCAGGAACTTTGTCCAGTGTTGGGTGCTCCTTCGCAGCATAGAATCCGTAAATTACTTCTTATACAGTCCAAAGCAAATCCGTCAGGGTGGAGTGGTTTTGTGGCACGAGTCTCACATTGGGGATTGTCACTCTCGTTTCCTTCATCACTGGAGACAGACAAGGCCAACGCAGCACGCTGATTTTCGCCGTCAGCATCCCTGGTACATCTGTTCATGGTGGAAATGCTGACGCCACACGCAACAGCAGCATGACGAATGGAATACTTGGGACCAATTCGATGCCCAGCCATTGTTCTCCTCGTCTTCGCAAAAATTGTAAAACAGACACCACCATGGCCCGTTCACGCTTTGTTATATGTGGCATGTCGAGAGAACAAGTTGCCACGAACGAAAAGACACTCGAGAAAAAGCAAAATAGGGCCACAGAGCAGTCAGCAACAAAATGATTCCTCCAGCCACGAGGAGCTAGCTCGAAGGACACTCTGAACAAAATGGCGAAATGCCACGAGTCACACCTGGTTTTCGAATTTCGCGCGCAGATTTTCGTGACGCAACTCGCATGACATTTTCTCAAAAGTGGCCTTGAGTACGTTCTCAAGGATTTCAGAGTCTATTATAAAAAAACGCACTGTAGATTTTTGCTAGAATCAGAATTATTTTGTTTTGCCGCAGTATGATCAAGCCCTGAGGAGTGTAATGGTCCATGGCCTTTCACCTTCTCTCTCTCACTCTCGATCCCTCGTACTCATTTTTCTCTCTACATCTATCCATCTCTCCCTATCTCTATCTCCAGAAAAAGACGAATGGCCATTCTGTATCTGCATCAGCTGTTACTAAGCCTACCCGACCCAGATCCAAGGTATTGTTTTCAGTGTCCGATTCATATCACAGACACCACTGGAAAATCCGATACGGCCTTCTGCTCCATTGCTCGGTGCATTGGTGATTTCAGCAGGTGGGCGAATAATGTCATTTATAGGTCTTTCTAGGCGAGCAGAGCAGTGACAAAGCAACACCTAAGAAAACGTGAGTTGCACAAGCTACAAATAATCTTACTATTGTTTGCAACAGCAAGCTCACAGCGAAATGCGTACAACAATGGGGATTACTGTACGTGGTCAAACCCGTGACAAATGTCACACTTGCTTCTTTTGCACGCACCGCTCAGGCTTCAGCTTGACAATGTTATTAGTTTCTCGCGTAAATGGTGAGATTTATTACATGTCTGCACTTGAATATTGAAGTGTGAATGGATGTTGTTGCTGGCTCCTTCTCGCTCTCACTGTCTGGTGCCACTCACGCTTTCCGTAGTGTCACGTTGTCACTGATCTGACCGCCTAGAGAGCTGTATAGATGGCATTATTTGCTCACTTCTCTCACAATCACTTTACTGATGTTGAAGAGTAATGGTGCAATAAGGCCTCATTTGGATATCCGTAGAGGTGTCTGATTTCCCTTTCTGGAACGAAAATTCTTTGCTGTCTGGCTGTGTCTCCTCTACTACACCTTGTTGGTTTACTGTTACTCGTAGCTGGTATAGACTTGCATTTCCATGTGTCGGAAGGAAGGTTGTTGAAGTGATGTGGGTTGCTTCTTTTGGCTTGTGGCGGGTGTTGGGCATGTAACTTGCTGGTACTGAATGCAGTGTTCGTGATTCGCTTCTTTCTTATTTTTGTTTGTTCGGCTTACCTGTTTGGTCCAGTGTTATTCTCTTTCAAATGCCATGTCCTAGTCTCGTAATCAACATGCTGGTGCTGCATCTGCGCCTTGATCCTTGATGGCGTTGGCATTGTTGTGGATGCAGAAAAGTTAGTCTGGCCAACTTTCGCTCCAACCCTAAACTTTCATCATATTTGTGGTGTTGCATTCTGGATATTTGTGCTCTTTGTTTGTCTTGTCAGAAACCTCTGTATAGGATGCCAATTGAAGAGATCGGCAGGCCCACACCATCGGATCCCAGCAGCTCTGGTGCAGTCACAGCAACCCAGCTTGTCACCAGTAGCGCAGGCGTGAGGGAACAGCCAGCAGCTGCAGCAACGCACAAGCCCGTAGAAATGCCAACGTCAACAGCATCCTCTATGTCTGTGTCTGAATGGCTCGCCCAGGATGAGCGTGTGATTCGCACCCATGACCTCCTGTCCAGCACTGTCGACAGTGCAATAAATCAGTCCTCTTGTCACAATTCTACTAGGAATGCTCCTGCTATCACGTCACCCCATCCTTCGTCTGCGGATGTGTCACCCAACCCCGGCCCTTCATCATCCGGTAACGATCGACATGTAGCAGCAGCAGCGGCTGCAGACAAGTCCTCTGTCAAATCCCGTTTACCCTTTCCGAAGTCCGCATTCCAGCTGTCCAAAGACCTACGATCACTCTCTGGACGTACGGACGAGTTGCGCAGCTATCTGAAGGTACGCCAGCATGGTTTGGCTTGAAGTGTTCGGATTTGCCTTGTGTGTGTGTGTGTGTGTGTGTGTGTGTGTGTGTGTGTGTGTGTGTGTGTGTGTGTGTGTGTGTGTGTGTGTGTGTGTGTGTGTGTGTGTGTGTGGTGTGTGCCAGCTAGTTCGGTTGGTGGGTACACTTGTGCCAGATAGTGTTGGGTCTGTTGCCAACGGGCTCGGCTGCTTGAAGGTGTATTGTTGTACCTACCACCTTTGTTGGTTTCAGGGTTCATATACTTTCTACTTGAAGTATACATACCTGATGGACTGCTTCTGGCTAGATTAACTTTTGTGTAATCAATGGTACTAGTGAAGCTTATATCAGATACACTCTGATTTAGCCACCCACACTAGTAGCAAGTATTACCTTCACTGGGGGGCAGGGGTAACTGCAGTTGGATCTCGGGACGGATACCCTGATGCCGAGGTTTCAGCCAAGGTTTCAGGTCGACCAAGTCCAGTTCGGCTTGCTATTTCGGTGTCTTCTGTCCCTCTTGCCTTCTCTCTCGTCTTGGCTGAGACACTAGACCTACTTAGTTGCACTGGTCTCCTAATCACACAAATGCAAACACGTGGGTGTTTAGTTCTACATGTACACGCAGCCTGTGACGCAGGTGTGATGATGTAAAACTACAGTTGTGGCAAGTGAAATCCGACACTTGGCATAAGGGACTGCAGCCCTGCATACGTACAGTACATGTGTTGCATACAACTTTATCTGTCTGATGACAAAACTCGTACTCATCACAGTCAAGGTTCAAAAGGTGCTGGCAAAAATGAATGGGGATTGGATACCAATACTCCTTATGTGTACCATATTTGTGAACTGTGTGTATCTACGCTGTGACCTTTCGATCTGTTCGGGATGCATACGGCTCTATAGTACAAATTAGGTGCAGTGCATTACATCATTGGTGTCCGTTTGTTGCGCTGTCCCCTATGGCAAGTGTCGGATTTCACTTGCCACAACTGTACAAAGATGTGTTCTACATGTACATGTACAATGTAGTACAATGCAGTACAATGTAGTACGATGTAGTATGCAATCCAGCAAGCGGAAGGGAAACACAAGTGACTTGCAATGGTGAGAAAATGACTAGCTTTGCAGGCTTGTCAGCGAAAGGGGTGACAAGATTATGATCATGCAGTGCGTGTACATGTACATGTGAAATGATTAGAGGTACAGGTCGTCCCTCGTTAATACATAATCTCTGGGACTTGACAAATGTTATGTATTAACGGGGTTTATGTACTAAACGAAAGTGTACATAACTTGCTCGTGTACCAGAATTTTTCACTTTTTTCTACTTTTCTGAGTGTTTCTTGCTACCATGACTAGGCAGCGAGATATTCTTGATTCCCTCGATATAACATAAAAATTATGTTATACCGGTCACAGTTAGCGAAGATTCTATTGTTTGCATGATACATGCCCAGCCGTGCCTGTATAGTCACTGGAAAAAAAACAGAGCTTTGTCGGTGTGTGATGTGCGCTCTGATTTCTGAGCTAATTGCATCCACAAGTAGAAACTAGAACACGATGTGCCTCCACTGGAAGGCCAAAAGACCAACAAATTATGTACTATTGAGGTACAGTCAACTTGGCTAATAACGACTGCGGATATAACGACAATTCGCGAATAACGACAGAATTTCCATGCCCAGAGCAAAGTCCCATCCAACTGTAATACATATAATGCGACTTCGGGTATAACGACACTTTGTGAATAACGACACTTTTCTGATGCCCCGCCGAGTGTCGTTATAAGCGAAGTTGACTGTTACTGTGTAGGTGGCATGCGGGTACGGAGAAATGTTATGTACTAACGAATTATGTACTAACCGACAAAATTTGTATGGAAGTGACCACGTTTCGTCCGGGACTTGAGATTTCTTATGTACTAACGGGGTTTATGTACTCGTATTAACGGGGGACGACCTGTACATGTACTAGCAAGGCAGGGATACTACATATACATGTACAGTGTTACATCCGGAAAAATCCCATGGAAAACCAATTATTTTTGTGATCACCATGGCATGGTGGCCATTTTAGATTCTGGTTGCCATGGCAACGGATGCATTTTCTCTGCATTTTGGGTTTGGTTTTGATTCTTTAATTTTTTTTTACATTCCCCTTTGATTTCTTGTTTGAATGTTGGCTGGAAAACCGTGCATTTTGCATTTCCATTTTCCGCAAATTAAAACACATTTTTCGGACAGGCCTACTGAGGTGTGGTGAGCCCATAAGTGGGATCAGTTCAAGTCCACCCTAGTTTGGGGATTTCAGGGGGTGTCGGCCGTTTAGTGGTTCAATAGCCAATTGAATCATCTTTCCAAGATTCCTTTTGAGTCTCTCTCCCCTCTCCCGGGGAGACCCACGTGACCAGTTTTGGCAGTGAGCAAGACAGTGTGTGTGGTGTGTGGGTGTGTATGCATGTGTGCGTATGTGTTTGTGTTAGTGGTGAAACGAATATCGAAATCCTGTAGCCGAATTTCTTTGGCTTAACGAACGAACACTGTGTGTGCACACTCGTGTGCGTATGTGTTTATGTGTCATGCTGTGTGCGTATGTGTTTGTGTGTTATGCCGCGTGCGTTGTGTGGCGGATGGCTTATTACTTGACGCTTTCCAGGCCTGCATCACGTCCTGTACTCAATGAGTATAGGGCTGAGTCATGCACCAAAATCCACAATCTCTCGTACCAGCACACCCAGTTTTGCTCGATTCCTTCGAGGTTTTTTTATTCAAGAGGGGGCTTTTGGGGGCCGTCCGGGGTTACCGATTGTTTTTACAAAACGAAAAGTTTTAGTATTTTCAGCCCCCACCCACCCACCCACCTTTTCTGCAGGTAAAACGAATTCCAATAAAATACTTATGTCAATTTTCGACACCCAGAAGTAGCTGGGCCTTCTCCATCTGCATTCAATAATTATTTTCAAAACAAAACTCCATCAAACCCACCCACCCCCAAACGAAAACTTTCGTTTTGAAAATATGATTGGTCAACTTGAGTGAGCGTGGACCTACCTTTGTTCTATACCCATCTATAGGCGATACCACCGGCATCTTATTCTTCCATCTTGAAGCAATCACTGGACTCGAACATTTTATCATCGCTGATTCAAGGATACCGGGAGTGTTTCACCAGGTATGTGGCTGGGTGCATGCTAAGATAATGGTCACCACAGCGGCTTTAAGAGATCGCTGATTCTTCTCACAAGTGTTGCCATTTTCGGCAAACTCTCTTTATATTTGCGTGCTCGCAATAGTATGTATAAACTCTTGTTCCTACGACTGTGTTGTGACTCGTTTCTTGCATCCTGATATATGATGCTAACTACAAGTTATGTGCTGCTCCATCGTCCCAGCGTGGGCAGAGAGAGAGAGAGAGAGAGAGAGAGAGAGAGAGAGAGAGAGAGAGAGAGAGAGAGAGAGAGAGAGAGGGACAACATTGCCAGGACAATAAATTGGGCTCGAGCCCACTAGGCAATCAGACCTGTGTGATTGCCCTGTGTTAGCCACCTCACAACTTGCCAGCATGTGCGCACTTTGCCTTCTTGTTTTCTCTTCGTGCAGCTGTGGCGAATCGGCATTTGCGGAGATGCAAGCCCTGAGCCAAGTACGGCGCTTTGAAATGGCACTCATGCTTCTTGATGGCCGCGACAAACAAGGTACTGTAACAGTCCATCTCTCTATTCCTTGTTGCTAACTGGTACAGCACTGCCGGGCGCCGAAGAAACAGGCTAAGGTTTCAACAAGCACAGCGTACCTATGTATACGCGGTGACTCAACTGTGCATAGACTGTAGTACAGCGTACATGAAAATAAGAACGACTTAGTCTACAAGGCTGCCCCCCCCCCCCTGTTCTTCAGCGGCCGACAGTACTGTAGATCAGTATGATGCTGACATGTGGTAGAAATCAGCTCTCTGTCACCTCTACTGTGGAGCTCAAATTACTGCAAATTTCTGAGTTACGTGGGTACGTTGATCTCCAATGAAGAAGATCCATGTGCATGCATTACAAATGAAATTGTTTGAAGGTGGCCAACAGTGACCGAGTATATTGATTTTCTAAAATTTCGACTCCATGTGGTATGTTCAGAACTTCAGAATGTATCGCAATGTCAGCATTAACCCTTTACCTTCTGTGTGTACATGAATCCACCGAATTTGGTCGATGGACATGCATGCACTAAAACATTCGTAGCTCGATCAATTCTTGACAGAATCTCAAAAACGAAATATGTAGGAAGAAGCCGAAGAGCCCAGCTTTTCATTGCAAAAATCGGCGAAGAGCTGCGATGCCGCATTCCGAAGATATTGCGCTCGACATTTCAGCCACGGCAAAAGTCGATTTTTTCTGAGTCACTGACCTTGAGCTGGGAATTTTCCCTCTCCTGACATGCTGAGTCACCTGGGAATGCTTTGAGCGCATGGGCAGCATAAAAAGAAACTCAAGCAAACAAATTTGAAATGTTTACGATGAAGGACTGAGAAATGGCTGACGAGGAGAGAATGTTCTCGGATACCCAGCGATGGGGAGTATTTGAAGTACCCTGGTGTTGGATATGTGATCTCAGTAGTGTCCAGTTTGAGCTCATTGTACGCAGCTCGTAGAGAGCTATCCAGAATGCCCAAGAGTGTGAAAATCGGTTGATTAGAAACAAAGATATTCTCAGAATGAGGTGAGAATTATCGCATTTGGAACTGCCTGGGAATTTTGGTCAGAAGGTAAAGGGTTAATCAAGGAAGTCTACCGCCACCATTTTTAGTAGGGCTGAAACAATTATACCGATAACTCGCATATCGATCGTTAAGAGTGCAATCGATAATCGTTAGTGTTTAAAACGAGTGCTAACGATTTATTATGAATGCATATCGGTGACAGTATTCTAGCCCTTGCACTTCATCCGATAGTGAATACGAGTACAATCAAGTACTTCCAAGCGTGGTAAAATTGATTTGTGGCTTTGAAAGAGCTCGGAAGAGAAGACTTTGTCTTTTTGGTTCATTTGTGTGAGAGGTTGGAGATAAGAGCAGTTGCCAGAGGGTGATGACAAGATTCTTTGCTCTAGAAACAACATGAAATTCTCTAGTTCATGTTGATAAACCAGCCAGATTTCCACAGATGTCAACATTGCGGTGCCACAAATTTCTAATGTACCAAAGGTATCATGGAATTTCTTCATAAACTGGTGTGCGAGGTACACGAGTAGAGCCGACAAGAATCGATAAAACCAATATATCGATCGTTAATGATATTGGTTGATCGTTAGGAGTTATTGAATGATCGTTTCAGCCCTAATTTTTAGTACAATGCAAGTCTTGTACAATTTTATTACAGCGTAGGAGGGTTTAACTTAATAGAGGGGTTAAGATGCACGTTATTTCCGACGTGACGTGCAATTTCACGTCCAATTTGGCATAAAACTCCAAATTTTGACGCGAGCTGCAGGTCACTTGCGTTGTTTTTGACGCGCGAGCCAAATAACGCGAGCTGAACTTTCGTGTCACGTCAGGAATAACGTGCATCTTAACCTCTCTAAATACTACTAATGTGCCCGGGCTACCCCAATAGACAAGTACTGTGTCTTCTCTCATTCTATATTTTCTGTGCAGTACTGGCGGATTTGTTTGGGGAGCTTGCCGCTTTACATCCTGGAGACTCAAGTGAAGAAGTTTCGAGACTTCGCCAAACGTACGGACTTTAGCTTTTTGGCCGCGGTGAATCCTAGTCACTGCTGCTGCTGGCGCTTGGGACTTCTATGTCCTCAGCTTCACCTCTCTGGGTATGACACTAGTGCATGGGACGAACATGGAGCGGACTGGAAAGAGGAATGAGTCAACAGCATGTCCTACTTCAAGGCTATGTGCACTTCTTATGCAATGACGGATACACAAACAGAACCGCCTGCTTGCAGTTGCGTTGCTTGGAGGTATTGTCCATGTCCGGCAGGCGGCAGTGTGCGTGTGGTACTGTGTATGGTTCAACACGTGCTTTATTAAGCCCTGTTATTAACCTTCTTTTTTCGCAGAATTTGTAATTTTTACGGACTTCGTTTTTAACCCTTCTTTGAAGTACATGTACGCGTATTTTCCAGGGTCATAGCTGGCTTGAAATTGAGGAGAGACAGCTGGGAAAGTTGATGCATAGTTGTACAACTCTGCATTGCTCTAAACATGGAGTGTAGCTTGATATTGTAGGCCTAATGCCGTATTTACTGAACTCTGTCCCTACAAGATAACGCTATTCCGTGGACGCACGGTTTTCCAGATTAGAGAGGTTCCGGGCTACGTAACGTTGAGCAACTTGGGAAGCTTGTGAATTCGCGGGGTTTCATTCCACTTGGACTGTCATCACACTACGGTACGAAACGTTGTGTCTACGTCCTCCACGTAATTAGCTTTTAATCGGTTCTCATGATGATCCATGTGAGGAGTGAAAATGGGAGCTGAGGAAACGGGAAACGTAGACGTGGCAGGGAGTATACAGCCTTTCGGTTGAACGTGCATATCTCCCGCAGCCTTCTCCGAGCGACCTTGTACGTGCGTTTGTTTGAGTTTTCGAATTTCTCCCAAAATACAAAATGTGACTGTGTGGACGGGTCAAGAACTGTGCCCGTTTGATGACACGACCACACGTTTTGGATTTTTCACCGGAGATGTAGATGAGAGTCAGAGAACGTAGTGTGATGACGGCCTTACGGGAAGTTGTCTACGAGAGCACCGGTACGTACGTGCGGATATTGTTGTTGGGGCAGTCAACGGTAGCAGTGAGCCACCACAATGGGCTCTACTCCTTGATAAGTGTGCCTGTGAATCGTGCATGCAATGTGCAGAGCAGTGAGGCACATAACTGTGCCTGCTTGTAAATTACGTCCACACTCACACATTTCTCAAAATGCGAAGACTGAAGATGGGCCTTGCCCAAAAATTCGAATAATATTAATATCAGTAGAAAGGAAAAGGACATATGGAAATGAGTTAAGAGTAACTCTCCACCACTGTAACTAGATACTATATACAGTCAGAAAGTGCAACAACTAGGCACAAAACTGACAGAGTACTGAGACATTCGACGTCCTGACACCTAGCTTCAACACATCTCCGTAGCGCTAACCGACAGCCTTCCAACTTGGAAGGACGTCGAATGTCTCAGTACTCTGTCAGTTTTGTGCCTAGTTGTTGCACTTTCTGACTGTATATAGTATCTAGTTACAGTGGTGGAGAGTTACTCTTAACTCGTTTCCATATGTCCTTTTCCTTTCTACTTTTATTATTGGCTCAATACCCGAGTTTCAAATATTAATATCTCTTTTTCTTTTTATATATTAAATAGTGATTGGTGTAGCCCAGAGACCGTTTGGAGAGTGTTGTGAAGATGTATGCACACTCACACATGGTGTTAAAACACCCCAGAAAGGGGAGAGCATGGAGAAAGAAGGAGAACAATGGACCTTCTGCCATTTATACAGATCCATGAAATCCCGTAGACCCGGTAGGGTGTTGAATGTGCAGTACCCTATTGTGTTTTCTGCTAACGTTATTTCCACTAAGAAATGGGGCCTGAGGGCATTTCATACGAAAACCTTTTTCTGACAAAGATCTAGCTAGTCATTAATTCTAACCAAAGTGAAGAAGCTGGAAAAGTGATTGCTGGTCATTGAATAGTGACGCTAAAAAGGTCAAATGCGCATGCATAGCACACAATGAACACCCTACCGGGTCTACGGGATTCTACGGGATTTCGTGGATCTGTACAAATGGCATAAGGTCGATTCCATCTTCCATCACAGCCAAGGTCGATTCCATCACAGCCAATGTCTCTTTTCCAAGGCTGCCAGTTCGAAGGACTATAACGTGTTCTGTAATTTACTAATTTTAGTATAACGGAGGTGTACATTAGGATCAGACCGGCTGAGAAGCAATATTGCAATAACACAGCTACGGTGTACTTGTGTGCTTATATGGCGACTTTCCGGGTACTGTAAGAATCTAACTTCTATGATTCTTCTCTGTCACATAATTATGGTTAAGCAGTTGCTAGAAATAAGATCTAAAAACAAAAGACTTGGCCAGTGGCCTGAGATGTCCTCTTAGTTATGTAGAAGAAGGAAAAATGAAATAATAAATGAATTGTAATGGTTAAAAAGCGTTAAAACATTAAAAAGCGTTAAAAAAGCGTTAAAAAACATTCAGCTATTTCGAAGTAAATCGCCACTGACTCAAGATGTGTACAACATAATACCGGTATTCAAATTTGGGGAAAAAGAGCGAATGAGGGAGAAAAAAATACAGGGCCGTGAGTTACGAGACAGCAAAGCAGAGATATTATTCTCCATGAAAGACAGGATTTGAGTTGTTAGAGAACTGTGGGCAGCATGTCTAGAACACTGGCTTTGCTGTTGCGGCTAGGTCGTGCACCCGTGTCACTAGACTGGTGAACACTGGTTTTGCTGTTGCGGCTAGGTCGTACACCCGTGTCACTAGACTGGTGCATGGATTCTTCTTGCAAATCCATCAGGCTCGATCCACTAGCCCGCGAACATCGTCGCGGCATAAAGCTGCTAACGTCATTATGTGGTGGTACTTCGGGCGCCTGCAGCGGGACTGCCGATGGACTATTGGGAACCATAAGGTCCATCGCAAGGCTAGCCCTTGAAGCCGGCTTACTCGAGTTCTTGTTGTATGCGACGTATTTTGAATTGTTGGCCACACTGTGCCCAGCATGCGATTTCGAACGTGGACGCCGGGTGGAAGATTGATTCTGAGACCGGTGGCCGGGCAATAACTCGTAACATGGGTCACTGCTTAGCAACACAGCATACGTCGTCTCCAAAGGCTCGTACTCGGAACCCGTCTGGCTTCTGGTGTCAGCGTGCTGCTTCTGCTGCTGATGATGTTGTGTAGTTGTAGGTACGTGGCAAAATGTGGCTGTTGACAGTGCAGATGATGATGGTGTGTTCCTCTCTAGCCCGGCGGTATTTTGGTGACGGTGCACGCTGGTAGTATCCATTGCGTGATACACATTCTCGTCGTCGGTAGTATGGTGACGATGCAAGCTGGCGGTATCCATTGCGTGATACACATTCTCGTCGTCGGTAGTATGGTGACGATGCAAGCTGGTGGTGTCCATTGCATTATGGTGACGATGCAAGCTGGTGGTATCCATTGCATGATACACATTCTCGTCGTCGGTAGTATGAGGACGATGCAAGCTGGCAGTATCCATTGTATTATGGCGACGATGCAGGCTGGTAGTGTCCATTGCGTGGTACACATTCTCGTCGTCATTGTTGTAGATGTAGGACGAGTCGTCGGCCATTAGCATGCTGGCATTGTCCATGGACAGTGTCTCATCCTTGTGCAGCAGTTCCGTTGTGGCGTACACAGAGCCGATTGTGTTCGTACGCTCGGTGCGCATCAACGGGCCCAATCCGACGCTATCGACGGAAAGCGACTGCGCTTGCATGCTGTTGCCGCCGTCGAACTGAAGCTTCAGGATCGACTGGTCCATGTAGGCATTGCTTATAGGCGAGTCTTCTGCAGACATGGTCTGATTACGTGTGGACGTGCTGGGTGAAAACTCTGAGCCTGCTTGGCGCAGTACAGCTGCTGGCTTTCGGGCTGCAGGTGAAGGCGTAATGGCTACGCCTGAGCATATTACAAATGGACACAAATTTGGCAGACAAAGACGACATCAAAAATGGGTTTTGGGTTTTTGGGTCAGCGCATGCGAACTACTGCAGTGGATCATAAGCGCTTTTTTGCTATAGCTGTAGACAGTAGTACGGGTTTATATGCACAGTGCGTACGTTTATATGCACAGTGCGTGCTCCATTTCTGTCACTCAAGATCACTGCTGCTTTGACCCGTTCCTAAGTTATTCCAGTTTCTTAGACTTCGAGGAGAAATTTCTCCGAGAATGCACCCTAAAGTCGGCGTGAAAAGCGCAAGATCCAACATCGATCTCTTTTTGAAAACCCCAATCGACCAAAGTTTGATAATAGGCCATTCACACGATGTGCAAACTCACTTTTATCGTACTGTTTCCAAGGATATTTACTCGGATACAATAAACTTGGACTCACGCATGCAATTGATTGTTTATCTTGGCTGAGGCCCTTTTGCTTGCGATTATCTTTTCACGCAAGGAAAAGTGTCGGTTGTTGAAAGTGTGTACTGCAAATGCAGTGCTTGAACAAAGGAAAATTCAAAATTTAATTTCCCGGCATTTTCAGGAAGTCACTATGGATACATTGACGGTTGCAAAGTTTGCCCAGCACCGTGTGAACTGGATCACGGTTTGAAAGTGTTATCTTGGTCACACGCGTGCACGTGTTTGCACGTCGTGTGAATGGCCTATAACCTCCAAAGATTTCATTTCCAGATGGGCCAAAGTTTCTCACTGGCCAAAATTTGTTGATTTCAGTATTCTTGCCATGGCTGGCCAACGCCCCCTGCTTTGTATTGGCTTTTGCCTTTTTCAAAAAGTGGTGGACATCACGCAACTGCAATGTAAACAAAACGGGGTTTGTCAACTGACAACCGCTCTATTTAGTTGCTATTCACTCTTTTAATAGATGAAAATTCTTTTTAATACTAAATTAATGTCGAAAAATTATTGACGTTTCGGGCCAGTCACCCATCGTCAGAACAATGTACAAGGAGCGAACCTGGCCTTTTATAACGAAAGCAAGCGAGAGCATATGTACATGTATGTCCATGTATAAAACAAATGAAACACACAATAGCCGTATGCAATTGAGTGTCTGAATTTGCATGTACAACCGACAAGGAGAAGTGCGCTGAAAGAGTGGGTATGCAGCAGCTCAGCAGATAAAGCGCAGGAAATGTGCTTACGAAGGTGTGTACCACGATCATTGTGTGTACAACCCTGTACAGACACAGCAAGACTTGGCAGTTTCACTGCGAGGGTGCTAGCGCCTTCAATGGCCATCTGAAGGAGATATTGATCTCCCGACGACGCTCTCAAATCTCGATGGACTCCCTAATTTTTCTTCTGTTCATCCGTGTTTCCACAGCCAGTACTTGGGCCTCAATGAAAATCACATCTGTGCTCTTGATGGCTCCTTGCTGCTGGTGATCAGTAGCCATGTGTTTACCCCATGGTTTGTCGAGCATCCTGTGATATGCTTCATAGTGGTGTTCCTCGAACCGGTCTCTTGCGACTTCGTCAGAGCTCGAAAGAATTCGTCCTCACCGGCACAAGCCTGTGAGAGTCTCGGTATGACGCAGAAATGGCTGCGAAGCAACAACTATCCCGAGGCAATGATCGAAGAGCTTGCTCAGAAAAGTTGCCACACCGCCCAACGACGTACCGTAGTTCCGCGCATATAAGCCCATGGGCTAATATACGAAATAATGCATTTTCCGGGAAAAAAATCAGTAATAATGGTTCGTTTTTTAGCCCTGGGCCTATATTCGAATTTTGAAGGCAGCTGGCACGCGAAAAAGTACAAGTCAGTGCGCGGTTTTCCGCCTACCCTAGGAACTGGTACTGGTTATGTAGTCTGCACTGACATGCTGTACTATCGGTTCTGTAATGGTGTTTGGGTCTGTTTATTAGCCCATGGGCCTATAAACTGAGGTGGGCTTATATCCGGATATAGGCCCATGGGCGTATATGCGCGGCACTACGGTAAGCCATATATGAAAAAAGATGCCGCTATACTGAAGCTACCCTTTCGCTCAGAAGACATTCAGCGGAAGGCGAAGCATTTAGTCGAGCGCTCGGGGTTCCCGGTCAATGTTGTGTCTGAACACACTCTCAAACTCAAAGATGCCCTCGTGAAGTAAGCGCTGAATCCATCGAAGTGCAGCGTGACACAAGAACGAGTGAGGCGCCGAGAACAGCAGAGGCGAGGAAGACCGCTAACCCCTGCATCTCATGCTCCTCTGGTTTGCCGAACTGCATGTGTGATTCCCCGGCATTATCTATTTGATGAAGTGTGCACTGTGTCGGAAGCGGTATGTCGGTGAGACCCTCAGGGTCGCAAGAGACCGGTTCGAGGAACATCACTACGAAGCACGTCACAGGATGCTCGACAAACCGTGGAGTAGACACATGGCTACTGATCACCAGCAGCACAGAACCATCAAGAGCACAGAACCATCAAGAGCACAGAACCATCAAGAGCACAGATGTGATTTTCATTGAGGCCCAAGTACTGGCCGTGGAAACACGGATGAACAGAAGAAAAATTGGGGAGTCCATCGAGATTCGAGAGCGTCGTCCGGAGATCAATACAGTCAGACCTCGCATAACCGCACACATCCGTTTTCCACAAAAATATCCGGATAGGCGAGGGAACCGGATAATCGAACATACATACTGTGTGTATGCATGGCAAATGCTGTAAATCGGTAGCCAACAATTTTCTTCCGGATGGCGAGGGATCCGGATAATAGAGGACCGGACAAGCGGGGTCTGACTGTATATCCTGCGGATGGCCATTGAAGGCGCTAGCACCCTCACAGTGAAACTGCCAAATCTTGCTGTGTCTGTACAGGGTTGTACACACAATGATCGTGGTATACACCTTCGTACGCACATTTCCTGCGCTTTATCTGCTGAGCTGCTGCATACCCACTCTTTCAGCGCACTTCTCCTTGTCGATTGTACATGCAAATTCAGACACTCAATTGCATACGGCTATTGTGTGTTTCATTTGTTTTATACATGGACATACATGTACATATGCTCTCGCTTGCTTTCGTTATAAAAGGCCAGGTTCGCTCCTTGTACATTGTTCTGACGATGGGTGACTGGCCCGAAACGTCAATAATTTTTCGACATCATTAATATTAAAAAGAATTTTCATCCAAAGAGTGAATAGCAACTAAATAGAGCAGTTGTCAGTTGACAAACCCCCTTTAGTTTTGCCTTTTTGATGGTAAAATAAAATAAACACGCGGGTGCGGGCTGTTCACTTTGCAGTTGAGTCCTGTGTATTCACAAACTACATGAAGCAGCAAGAGTGCATAAACAAGAGTATGCAACTGTGGGTATGGCCCAGTGCCTTCATTACGTAACTTGCCTTCATCACGCTCTGAAAGCATGCATTCAAACTCACAATTTCTCGTACGAGCCCATCCGTTTTCGCTCATTTCGTTCCAGTACCTATGCGATCTCTGAATTCTGGCGCGTGAACTCCAGTTCCGTACGAAAGTTCATTTCAAACCAGAGGGAAAGTGCGGTGTTTGATTTTCCGCAGTGCGCGGACTGCAGCTGAATGATGTGATGAAGGCAGCGCGCCGCGCATCTGGCCCATAGAAAAGAGATCACAGTTGCATACTCTTGTTTATGGACTCTTGGTAGCAGGAATATTGCAGCTGTTTAGCATCAGCAAGTTACTGCCAAAGTACGTCATGGACTACGTTTTTTGTAGGACAAACGTACGGTCTTCTTTTAAATGAAAAGAAGCCTTTGTGTCGAATTCAAGCAAAGGTCCTCTCAACCTCCAACACAATCGGGGTGCTACACGTGATACGACCATGGTCGTACCACTTTTCGTCCTGAGCTCTAAAATGCGCCTCCCCCCATTCTTTTGCCGTGGAGCAGCCCTCACCCCCAGTCATACAACTCCCTACTGGCTCCCCTGGTATGCATACGGACAAGCCATCATGGGAATACGGTACTCACGTTTCCTGCTTCCCGGTTTCCTGGTACACTTGCAAATGACAACAATGGTCACAAGCAGCATGACCAGCGCACCGCCTCCTGCAGCAATGTACACGACCAGGGTTTTGCTGATCAGAGTAGTAGGCCCCGTTCCTTGGTCTGTGTTCCTTGGCGAGGGCATGACGGTGACGCTACTGGGGACAGCAGCAGTAACACTAGTCAACGTGCTGGCATTGGTCGGCATAGTTGCACTAGTTGACACCGGTGGGGCCGACACACTTCCATTATGTGCCAGTGTCGTAGTGGAGGCATTTGTCACTGAGCCTCGGTCCATGGTTTCGGTCGCTGCAGTCGTCATCACCGCTCCTAGTTTGCCAAAACTATCTGATAGACCGCCCGTGGACGACTGGGTTGGTGCATTCGTGTCTGTGCCGTAGCCACTAGTTGACACCGGTGGGCCTGACACACGTCCATTATGTGCCAGTGTCGTAGTGGAGGCATTTGTCACTGAGCCTCGGTCCATGGTTTCGGTCGCTGCAGTCGTCATCACCGCTCCTAGTTTGCCAGATTTATCTGATGGACCGCCCGTGGACGACTGGGTCGGTGCATCCGTGTCTGTGCCGTGGCCAGAACCAACTGATGGACTGGATGTGGAGGGCTGGGTTGGTGTATTCGTGCCTGTGCCATGGCGAGAACCAACTGATGGACTGGATGTGGAGGGCTGGGTTGGTGTATTCGTGCCTGTGCTGCTGGCGGATGTTGTTACTACAGTCACCAGCGTTGATACTACACTTGCTGTTGTGGACACCGCTGGTGAGCTTGTTGTCGTGGCCGGGAACTGGCACAGTGAAGCTGTCGAACTTGTGCCAGATGCTGCAGCAGAATAAACAAGTGCCATACAAAAGGTTGGAAGCTGCCGCCTTGGCACAGAATTGCACAACCGAAGCTTTATATCAATTTAGAAGTACTCATTAGCTCCCTACTGCTTGATACAAAATGAAACATTCTTAAGAAAGGAGATATCCACTGTAACCAGGCCCAGAGTCTCCAGCATGTGTCCACCGTCACATGAACAGGGCAATTGGTGGTAGCTCAGGGAGGGAACCTGCCAAACTAGAATACAGTCACAAAGAGCCACAAAGCAGAGAGTGCGACTCCGCGCAGGAATTCGGGAAATCGTAATCCACCGGACACGCCACTTTCGACAGCAATGCACGGTCAGGACAGATACCGCCAGTCATACTAATACCGTGCAGTTGTGCATTCGCTTGTCGTGGCTTCCATGACGGTTAACCCCCCCCCCCCCCCCCCCCCGGCTCTTTTTACTAATCTTCCCAATGTTTAATGTTCACAGATGTACATTCCCACGGGCATGTACGACAAAGCACCTCGAGTTAGTACATTGACCGCGTTCGTAAAATACAAATCTGACATTCCAAGGCGAAACGGGGCCTATGCAACTGATGACATACCTGGTTACAACATAATCTAGTAGTCTGCCTTTATAATCCATTAGTATACACATACCTGGTTAGACCCCTGGTGTAAGTCTCTGCTGACCCACACCCTCAGTATGAGCAAGAGTACAGGAAACCCGGAGTGTGCAGCTGCAATAGGTTGTTGTCACCGACTCGCGGCACACTTCCCAGATCACAATTACCGTCACGGCGTGTGATGCAGTGTGTACAAGCAGGATTCAAGCAAGTCTCTCCCTCCCCCCCCCCCCCCCTGCACACCTGCAGCTCAGGTGCGCATGACGCCACCGCTCACCTCATACCTGCAACAACTATTATCTAACAATCTCTCATCCTCTTCTCCTCACCGTTCACACTTTATTGTTTTAAAACTATTACTGTAATTTCACAAATTTTCGGTGTACTTTTATTTTCGGTACTTTCGATGCGTCTGTGTCATACCTAAAATTCCAATACACCGAACAAACACATAATCCAATAGGAACTGCTTCTCTGTATCTAACACTTCTGTTCACCTAGCGTGGCCTTTTGCCCTCATACCGAAAATATTGAGCACCTAAAATTTCTGAAATTAGAGTCTAATCCGGGAATTTCGCCGTGACAAACTTCCATGTAGGAAAAGTCAATAGCTGCCCACATTGGGTTTTATGTACTCATGGTATGAGAGTATAAATATTATCCATGAAGGAACAAGATCAAATCCCACATTTTTCAAGCAGAAAGACACAATGTATTACACCTGGCATGTTGTAGAAATATAATTATTATGATCTTTTGCACCCAAGGAACAACCTTGTGGGAGATTGCAACTGTCTGTTGTATTAGGCCGTTTTTGGGTAACCCGACCGACCGATGTTTTGAGCGCCGACCTATTCTTTTTGCATACATTCATGCATATGCGCATCCCTGTCCCCGGGGAAAATCGCGATTACGCGGCCGCGTTTTTCCCCGCGTTTTTTGCGATTGTTTAAAAGACCGCGTTTTCCGCGATTTTCTCGCGTTTTTTGAACTTTTTTGTTGCACTACACGTACACACAGTGCACTGTTCGGTCAGCAATATCTCATCGTGGCGACTTTGTACTCAAATATGACGAGTGCTTACACCAGACTTGTAACTGATTGATTTCACTACATACTCACTGAAAATTGCCTCATATCAACTGCAAACTTGCCGCATATCAATAATATTCACCGCATATTTACCGCAAATTCACCTCAAATTAGGACATATTATGCCGCGTTTTTGCGATATTTTCCGCTATTTTCCCCGGGGACAGGCATCCTACGCATGTACATGTGCATGCTCGCACTTCGCGTTTTGCCAGGCACAAGGCCACGGCTTTTCCTTCCTGCTCCTGGCTCTGGCCGGCTAGACATTTCAGTCCTTTGTTTCGAGTTGACTCAATCAAGTCGGATTTGTTGCATGGAGTTCTATTTGTCAAGCGTAAAGGCCGATTCATACTTCATTTCGCGTACGGGAAAGTCATTGCACGACCGTCGCGCGATGGCTTTCCCGTACACGAAATAGTTGAGCTCAGATCAACTTTTTCACAACGCGACGCGTTTCCTGTACGCGAAATGAAGTATGAATCGGCCT